AATTTGGTATGGCATAACATGACTGTTTGAAAAACATATTTGACCTGTCATAACATGAAAATCATGACATGTATGTCATCAATGTCATGATTTACATTTCATAATCCTGCAGATCTTGCGGTGGTTTCGTTCACATGGCATGTTGCAAAACTGGTATGGTATGACATGATTGCATGGCGAACACAAGTGACGGACCCTAACATGAAAATCACGACATGCGTGTCATGTAACAACAAGACTACGTGCCACGCTCGTGATGCGTTGGCGGCCGTTTTACGAGCTTCACTTATACCAAATTTGGTATTACGGGACGTGAGTGGATGACGAAGGTATGATACTGGTGCAAACATGATAATCATGAGATGCGTGCCATGTAACAACATGACTACAGGCCGCACTCATGATGCGTTGGCGGCCGTTTTACTAGCTTCCCTTATACTAAATTTTGTATTACGGGACGTGAATGGATGACGAAGGTATGATACTGGTGCAAACTTGATAAACATGAGATGCGTGTCATTTAACAAATTGACTACATGCTACGCTCATGATGCGCTCGCGGCCGTTTCGCTAGCTTCACATGTACCAAACTCGGCGTGAACGGACGACACAGGTAAGTGACACATCCAAACATGATGATCACGACATGCGTGTCATGTAACAACATGCCACAATGATGATGCGCTCACGGCTGTTTCGCTATAGCTTCATATAAGCCAAATTTCGTATTATCTGAGGCCAATGTATGACGAAGGTATGACAGTCATCAGAATCATGAGATGCGTGTCATGTGAGAACATAACTACACGCCACAGTCAAGCCGCCAATGCCTTTCGACTTGACGTGGTGTGCGTGCTCACTGGTGTTCATTTCGTTGCGTCAGCCGGCGTTGCCACGCCAGGGGCCGGTCCTGTCATATTCTCGTAGGCGCGCGCCACGCTGCGTTGCTTTGACGCATGTGCGCTTTAGCGCGTCCAGCGTCTCTCCGTCACAAAAAAAGAGGGAGGCGCAGTGTTGTCTGGGTAACGCATCGGTGCGAAATGCAGCATGTCGCATTTCGCGCCGGTGTCTGTCATGCCGCGCCGACAGACGCTGGTCGCGCCTCGTCGCTGTACACGGCGTGCACGCTCGTCAATGCCACATTGGAGCACATTGGGCCCTTCATGACGCGCTCGCGGCCGTTTTGCTAGTTCCACATATACCAAATTTGGCGTTACATGACGTCAATGAATGACAAAATATATGACTGGTGCAAAAGTGAGTCTTGACAGGCGTATCATGTAAGAACATGACAACATACCACGCTCATAGCGTGCTCGCGGCCGTTTCGCTAGCTCCACATATACTAAATTTGTTATCACGTGACGTGAATCGATAACGAAGGTAAACGACACATCAAAACATGATAATCATGACACAAAAGTTATGTACAGCATTATTTACCTCCACCTCGTAACTTTGTGCCAATTTTAAAGTGACATATTACAATTTCTCATTTGTGCTTCGCATATCATCGATTTTCCATGGTACGTGGGATCTGCCTTTTTTTTTTTTTTTGCACGGTGTGTTTTTTTGTAAATAAAATGCCTTGACAGTTTCTTTCTCTGTCGCCTGACTAATGAGTAATTGTAGCGTTGTACGTAAGAGCACTGTGCCATATTCGAACGGCGTCGCTACGGAGCCTGTCACTTTTTCTGTAGCGTTAGTCGGCGTTCCAAGTGATGCCTAAAACCTTTCCTTCCTCCGTGGTTTGTTGCATCAACGCCTCCTAGATTTCCCGTGCCTGCCGGATTATCGGCGGTCGCTTGGGAAGCGGCGGTCGTCGGAACTACGATGGTGGCGTCACTCAAGTAGGAGTGTCTTCAAATAGATTTTTTACGTTTTTGAACCTTATATGCAATAAAAATAACGTAAAAGATTTTAAAAAAGCGTAAACTTAATTATAATTAACCCTACGTAAGTGACGCCGTCATTCAACTAACAACTTTTTTTATTACAAGGCATTCTCTGAAATCAGTAACAAACGCCAAAATTGCTTATCTTGAAGGCCAAGTACAAAAACTCTTATTCCTACGTAGGCAGTGCCACCATAAATGACCGGCGTTTCGCGCTCATCCGGCAGGCACAAGAAATCTAGGAGGCGTTGGTTACATGGACTAGTTGTAGATCACAGCACCCCGCCGTTTCGGACGGCATCTGTCGTTTTCCGTGTAGCGTTGGATGGCCGCAAGAATGTTATAATACTATAAAAAGAAAACACAAAAATTACGATCACAACTGCCACCAGATAATATATCAATTACACGCCTAAAGCACCCAGAAGACGACAACTTCCGGGACAGTAAAGGGACTTTCCGGTGGCTTCAAAAGCACCCGCATCAGAGAGCAGGGGCGTGATGCCGGTGATGTATATTGAACTGCAGTCGAAATGGCATGTCTGTTTGGCTTAAAAATTCTTGCGCGCAGACTTTGCAATGCAGTGTGTATATCACGTTACTGGAGTCACAGTTAGGGGTTCCAGTTATGCTGAATTTGAAACCCGAGAAGTTCGCTTTTGATGCATGTGTTGTGACCACCTGTGGGCATACTTAGCAACGGGCATGCCTGTGGGCATACTTTTCGGCAGGGATGTCACCCTGACCGAATTTCAGAGTGGTGTGCTTTTGCTCTGACAAGAATGTCTTTCAAGTTTTTATCCTTGCGTTACACCATATGAGATGGCTCCGCGAAAATTGAAGTCAGTCGTTTGCTTTGCCTGATTTTGTTGAAAGGGCGGGAAAGTATGTTGTTGACTCGTGGCACTGATGAGTAAGTTATAGTACAAGCTAGGTTGGTTTAAGAAGTTGTTTTAGATACTCTTCTTGGCCCCTTAATTACGTCATTCCGGTTCGCGTTGCGAGAACGTAGTATGAAATTATCAATAATGTCGTCGGGATAATTTTGTTTCGATAGAGAATGATTTAGGTGCTCTGCGTGTGTGTCACATTCCTGCATATCGGTGCATATTCTTCGATACCAGTAGGCCTGAAAATGCAATGTTCCGCAATGCTTTAGACTGCTGCTGCTGAAACGTAGGTACTACATTTGCAGATCGGTAGGCTTTTTGTAAAGGTTTGTTGACAGGCAGTCATTTTCGACCGAAACAGCGGTGTCCAAGGCGATATTCAGCAAGGCACGACGTTGGTCTTGCCCGTTCACGTTCATTGCTTGGTGTGCTCTGCGTTGTACCGAAGCCTGGCTCTAAGCTCACTGTATTAAAATATACCTGTAGTAAGAAAAGAAAAAAAGTGTTTCCGCCCGGGATCGAACCGGGGACCTTGCGCGTGTGAGGCGCACGTGATAACCACTACACCACGGAAACCGCCGTGGGAGGGTGGGTCATTTACACCATATTTATAAAATTGCAAACAATTACTGCATAGTTTTGTGTGCATTTCTAGAAGTATTACAATAACCGTAAATAAATTTTTTATATTTGGCAATTATTGAAACCTTTCTTTTGACTATTTGGTCAAAAAGACTGCGAGAATAAACAGCATTCACTGCGGCGCACTGTTCCCGCACCGGAAACCGTGACCGCTGAATAGTTTGATCGTTTGTCCCACAGTGGTTTGTCGCATAAAGTTATAAGGCTGTTCTGTAGATCCGTCTAATCGAGGCGTTGGTAAAGCTACTGTGTCGTGGCCTAAGGTCTTGCAGTTAACCTGCGAGAAACCTCGTTATTAGCGAGTGGCTAGCGGAATGTTTCGGCATTGATAACTTCAAAGTAGTTGGTCTGCGCAACAACCCCTAAATGAAATACTGAGGCGCTTAGCTGACGACCTCGCTGGCAAAAGGGTTCTAATGTTTGCTGAACACTGCGGGAGGCGGTAAAAGCTTCTCGACAGATCTCAAGACAGCGTTACCCTCGTGTTGAAGCTTGGTTGCAGGCTTTACTAGAAGTGCGCAAAAATCAACGCTTGACATTCAGCGCTGTGAAGCGTTCGTTGCTGATCGTCTGCAAGAAAAGGGCACTGCGCGAGAACGGCTATTTTCAACTTGCGACAAGAGCTTAAGCTCAAGCCGTACCTGTTTGTGCATTCTCTCTCGGCAGCCGACCTTTGTTGTGGACTTGACTGCATTTCCACTAACCTGGGCACCGACGCTAACCCTGAAGGGCTCCCGATATTACAGTAACCGGATCGCAACATCGGAGCCTTTGCTTTCGCTACCGCCGCGATTGACCTGCTTCATAAGACATGTTAGAAACCTTTGCGAGGACGCGTCCTGCACAGAAATCGCGAGAATCAGTCAAGCTACTCAACGCATTTTATAAGCATAGTCCGGTGGATCGAATCAAGTTGAATCGGAAAAGGGACACCTTTCTGCGAGACACATGAAAATGGCACGCTGACTCTGACAAAGCTAGGAAGGCTTTGCTTTGATAGATTCCTAGCGGTTAACCTCAGCGAGTTGCTCATTCTTGTGGAGATGAAATGTTATCTTGCGAAGGTATCCTGGAAGCGTTACATGCCCTAAAAGAATATTTAGTTTCTTAAATGTGTTGTCAAGTGCTGCATTGTCCAGGAAAAAATCCGTAAATGGGTTGTGTGCTCATGCCGACGTTTCAACAAGTCCCCTTGTCGAAACATTGGCTCTAGCCCAGAGCACTACTTTACAAATTTTTTCCTCACAAGCTTTCATCTTCCCCTTTCTGCCATTTGTTGAATGTCTGGGAAATTATTACAACACGGTATCTTCAGTAAACTGTTCATTTTATGAATAATTCTGTTGTAGAATGGACAAACAAGGCTGCCTCAGAGCTAGCCTTCTAGCATTGCATCGGTTGCCACTTTCTCCTGGCACACTTCGAGTTGGGCACATTCTTGCAGCATGCATTAAGGTGAATAATACGGCTACCATATTTAGTTTTCATTCATGCACATTAGAGAAGGCCAAATCCGAACGTTGAAAGTAACATAGCACAATTTTACCACTTAAGAACTCAAACATACACAAGTCTGACTTAAAAGCGTTCTTTATTTTGATAGGTCGATCTCATTAAAACATTTCATCTATAAAACAAACACTTCCAGGAATGAATAAAACATTTTTTTCTTAGGTTGCCACATCAGCCACTCCATAAAACAGCATTGGCACAGAAAACACAAGAGCAACTAAATTCATCAAACCAGTGATGATACAACAAGGTACTGTTCTGCACTCTCTGAACAACCACACTCACAAAACACAAACAATATGGAGGAAAAGGTGTCTGCTAAGCACAAGGAAATGAGGATGGTGGGAACAAATTGCACAGCGATACATGAACATCAGTCTTTTTCCTAAATCCCCACATTCAGTTCATTTATCTTGCCAAAAACTACTACTATGTCCTGGTTCAGTCCATTCGTATCTGCGTTTTGCCCATCGTAGTTGCTACACTCAGGTCACTTCCACCCCAATGACTTCACGCAAAGATTAAGGTGAAAACTAGGCAGTTCAATATATACTAAAAGATAAACGTCAAAATATGCCACCCAATGGTGCATGCTCAGCATTTAATTCACTTTCATGAAATGCTCAAACGCGAAGGATATCCAGGCACACATAAACCTCTACAACGTGTACACTCATCCCCGCAGATTCGTCAATGCAGAAAATCTCCATAAGAAAGAAGGATGCTATTGTAATGCTTGAACAAAACAAATTTCAAGATGTTGAGCGATGCCGAATTAATGCAACAGCGCGAACTTTTGAATAACACTGGAGATCTAACATGGGTGATATCAAGCACAGAGGCATATAGCATAGCAACAGCAGGCACTAAAATTGGCTTTATGTTAGTACAGCTAACTACTATATGCAATGGACTCTGTAATGCATAAGCAATTTTAATAGCAAACAAACTTAAATAAGAAACCTGATGATTTCTTTTGCAAGAAACTACATCGATGGCTTTAAAATGAGCCTTGCGAGCAGAATAAACAGAACTTAACGATAATAGCGTATAGAACTGGTTATTCACACTCTTGCTCATAAAAGAGAGAAAATGAAACGTGGAAACCACACATGATCATGTGAGGCCAACGTACCAAAGGACTGCAGGGAATTGCGGTGCATCAGTATTGCACTCCTGTCAGCTTCTGAAAGCGCGCAAAAAAAAATTGCATAACCGCAGTCCCCCTCATCAGTGTTGCAACCTCAAAAACCACATTGCAGTTGCATGCGACTCCTTTGAAGCACGCGATTCCAAATTGCCCGATCAATAAAAGCATGCTCTCCTTGCTAATGTTCACAACGAGCTTTTCTTATGCTACTTATGTTAATTTGCCAGGAAGGCCTTAGTTCAACTGTTGATGCAGAAATTTGACTGGATGAGATGTGGTTGGAGCAACTTGGCACTAAGTCAGCTTGGCTGGCAACATAACTGGTACGTTTTCCTTAAAGTAAGCAATAGGTGTCTTCCAAGTGGTTTCCTTTCTGAGCTAGAGTTGAATTCAATTGCCTAGCAGTGCATTATCCAGCCTAAGCTGGCAACTGTGATAACATAGTACACGAGTGCTGGCATTACGGGAGTGTAAACTAACCAAATGATTAACAATAAGCTTTGTGAGAACTCTGACAAATGTGGTGTCTCAAGAAATGAAGTGCTCCAGTCAGTTTGGTCTCAACAAATACACAAAAAAAATTTCACCTGCTCTCATTTTTTCAGAACTGCAAAACAAACCAGGGCTAGGCAGTAGGCTTACTAGTGAGAAAAGTTGTTGACAGAACTATGCATATAAAAGAATCTACAGGAAAGCATCTATTTTGCACTCTCATGCAACTTGCTCGCAGCATTTAAACTTATATGCAACTTCCTCGCAGCATTTAAACTTATAGCATGTCAAAAATAAGTTGACACTTTTTTTACTGCTCTTGAAAGGTATAAAATGCTCGCCACAACGTAAAACTTGTGTAGCAGTTACACTGGCTAGTAATACTTTGGGAAGCTAAGCAGCAGCAGTGGGTGGTAGAACAAGTTTGACATGGTGACGTGTTAAAAAGTGCACTACTTGCACGATGCTGGAAATCTGGACACCCACACCTTGTGCTCAAAGCACACTAAAACAAAACACACATTCACAATTGGACGTTTTTCGCAAAGCTACATAAACACACACACATACTCCGTTATAAAGTCTCTTCCCTCACAGCAAATACACTATATTAATAGGAAAACTGAGAGTGAGAAAGTCTCTTTCCCTTGTTTGTGCAATATGTGAGGTACAGAAAACAGTTTCAAATGACCAACAAGCCTGCTTTGGCATCATAATAAAAAAAATGATAACTTTCTCGAGATAAGTTTTTCGATAAACTGAATAGCCTACGCACCAATTTACTCTTCTTTTGATGCTAGTACACACAGCTTTGTTCACAGGATGATGAAAAAATATGCTTGAAGGCCCGGTATGTAATGCTAAAGGAGCATCAACAACACTATTTCATTCTTGCTACCTTCCCTCCACTCCAGAGTGCTTGAAAGTGCAATTTGTTGAAGAATTCATCACCCACACATATGCTATATGTAAATACTTACTGAAGCATACATCTGTAAAAAGAAAGTTATCCGAGGGTAGCACTGTTCTCTGAACTTGAAGGAAATGGATGATGATGCTGATGAGGTAACAGCAATTATTTAGCAAATAGCACAGCTCAGCTAGTGCTCAGTGACTGTTAAAAACAGAAAAGGATCAACTGACTAATACATTCACACGGTGACACCTGGTCATCTATGGTCCTTTGTTGATAATGTTTTCTCTGATAACCACTAGCTTTGGGCACCACAGCTCCTAGTACCTTCAGCTGCAAAGCTCCACGCTTGTGTGCCGCAAACCGCATGTAACTGCTACTGCACACATGGCTGTGAGACACATTTTTACTTTCTCGAAGATGTACTGACTGGTAGTGTTAGCCCCCGAGCAACTGCAGCACAAACCATCGATTAGCGCAGCACATATACAAATTTCACGACACATCAATTTGCGTGCTGCATAGCGATACCCACAGCCGAATCTCCTGCCCAGTCTTGGCCGCCAGAGCGGGTTGTGTTAACCCCAGAAACTCACATCCTTGATAGAACTATGCAAATTTTAATGTGTGCTTTTGCTCTGCAACAATATTATCCATCATTTAAGGGCACACTGTAACGGCAGCTTCCAGTGCATGCTATTTCTCTGTTCAGTACTGTTGGGCACCACGAGTTACTGGTCGTAAACCAGTGTGCTTGTGATGCCTCAGAAAGGATGCACGCAAGTACTGCGTACATCCAGGTGGTCACTGCTGCATGACAAGAGCATACCACAAGGCGTAAGATGCTTCAAAAGGGCAATCTGCTACGAACTGCGGGCGACCCCGCACATCGGTGCAGAGCAGAAGCACAAAAACCCGAATGTTTCGAAGATGCGGTCACACACGCGTGCAATACTAACAACGCCCACAGCCCGAGCTGACAGGTAGTTTGTGCGGCAGGCTGTTACTGCGCCTGTGCTTCGACTTTCATCGACAAATCCTCCTCCTCGTGCTGCATTTTGTCCACACCGGTGCATGCCAACCACTCCAGATGGCTGGCCTTTTTTTTTTTTTTTCTTTCGGCCAATGCTTGGTCTTGCTTGGAATGGCATTATCGATTGGGCATTGTGTAGGGTTTCCACCGGAGGCACTCGGGGTCCAAGGTGCGGTCGTGGCGAACTTTCTTTACTTTGGAGGAGGAACTTTCAGGTGTCTCCTGCATTTGAGAAAGAGCAAGAAAGAGAGAGAAAAAAGTAAGGCTTCATTCTCACGGCCAAAGAGCAGGACTTGCAATAATGCAAGCAAAACAGACGATAAGAGCGAAGGTCACAGGTACTCACAGTGTTTACAGTAGTTTCTGAGCACAAGGTGTCTTCCTTTCCAGTACTTCAGCATCCCCAGGGACTGTAACGTGCTGACAATGTCATACGCGCTTATAGCAGTTTCCTGGCTCAGATCTGGAATGAATTTAACAACAAAGAGACATTAACGACCCAAACTAATAATTCGGGCAGTAGCGCTCAGCTCTAAAAATAGACGTGACACATGACAAAACGAAAAAAAAAAAGCAACTATGAGAATGAGTAATTCAGTAAAAAAAAAAACATGAATGCAAGCAGATGGGAACGAAGCGGGGTGTCGTACTGACCCTTGATGGAAATGCCCTTTCCCTGAAAGCGTCGGAGGTAGTCCAGAACAACGCTCTTCCAGTAACTTCGATATGAGATCAAACCCAAATCCGACAGGGGCTTTTCTGGGGAGCCAGACTTGCCTTCTACTTTGCTGAGCAGGTAACCTGGGCACAGTAGAGGGCACATCACTGTCTTTCTGGGCTACAACTGGTCCAGATGGTAAACAACATCGAATAACGTTTAAGCAACTTGCTCGAATTCTCAGGTCTGCATTATGCCATTGTTGAACCATGGCCTCCGAGACAGCGCGCGTGCGGCGTGTTTTTTTTTGGCTGACCCAATCGCCGCGCTACCCAACAAAATGAACCAGTATCGGCTCGCGTGCTCGGCTACTGTGAAGGGGCATGGATTCCGGCGTTGGCGGAGACCGCGGCTGACAGTAGAGCGCATGGAATTTCAGCGTGCGCATGGTTTTTTTCCCGCATACGAGCAAGAATGATTGCCAGAATATTCTGGCTGCACTGAAGGAAAGTATTTTTTTTTTCTGCTACTGCATTTATTTTGGTCCAACTTACGAAGAAAAGCATGACAACTGCTGCATTTTCTTGATATGTAATTGTAATAAGGAGCTATCAATTCGTCTGAGGCAGTATTACTTTTTTTTTTCATTACGGTCCGTTTTGTCTGAGTGCTAAATAAACTCTATTTGAGAAATATATAGAGGCATTATAGCGTTCCTCCTTTCTGCAGACTTGTATAGGGAAAAACTGGGCTAATTATCATCGTTGAATGGAATTGTTCTCCTATCCTGACTCCTAATTTTACTATTATATCCCGTACGAATATTTAAGTGGTCAACCGAAGCGCAGCTACACTCTAGGTAACTGAATGCCCTGGTCTATTGTTGAAATAAGGCACGTAAAAAGTTTATTTTGCCTAAAATAAACTTCGATTAGCCGACCTACATTCACTCTCCACGTCTTTCACCATAAAAGTGCCTGAGTTGCCATTGTCTCCCTTTTTGTCATCTGAATTTCGATTATGTTTTGGTAGCACAAGCAATATCAGTGTTATGTTCATTTACTGTACTCTCGACTGCATCCGAATCAAAGGGTCGCACAAGTTACATAACCGCCTCCTTGTAATAAAAACTAAGTATTCGTCGAGGTAGACTACTAAAGAAAGAAAAGGTGCAAATTGCCACTGCTATGTAGCACCGCAGTGTTTCATACCAGGTACATCAAACTCTGAACGCGTGTTGCGTACTTCTTGAACAAACAAAGCATTTTGATGTTCGTTCTTACATTGCCCACCGTATCCATTGAAAATCACAAAATTTACAGTGCGAATGGCTGACCATGAGTGACCAAAACATGCCTGTAACCGGCCCATGGTCGTCGCAGAACCGGTGACGATCAGTCTAAACATAGTCTAGACGCATGGCGACCGCTTGCACCCTACTCCCTGTATCCTGCTTCTGCGGCTCGACGAGAGAATTCTTGAAACGGCGTTACAAAAAAAAGCAGCTCTAGTTCCATGAAAGCAAAGAAAAAGCAACTCGTTTGATCGAGTGTGACCCGTGAGCGTCACACTTCGCTTGTTGATCGGGCTGCAATTTTTTTTTTGCCAGCGGCCTTCATACTACACAGCATGCAAACTTCAAAGTACAGTAATGTTCCAGCATGTCCACATTTCTCGCAGGAGCATCACAATGACAAGTGCTCTGATATGGGCGGTGCAAATCTACAGCAAAAAAAAAAAAAAATCCCATTTGAAAATATATACCCCCAAGGATTGACTTTGCCTCTTGTACACATTGGCCTGACAATCCCAACTGAGTGTGAAGTTATATAAAAGCGCAAAACTATATTTTTTTCACCACATACAAGTTTTGCCAACAGCACGGCAGCCTTTTCGACCATACGAAGGAGCGCTGCGGTGCGGAGAAAAAAGCAGGCCATGCCCACCCTTTCTGTGCGATTAGGACAACCGAAGAGGAAACCCTCCCCCGCACGCCATCTTGGAGGCTTAGGTCGAACATTTACAGAAACTTCAGGGGATTTATATGCCAGAACCAAGATGTGATTGCGAGACCCACTATATCGGGGCACCCTGATGTAATTTTGACCTCCTGGAGTTCTTCAATGTGCACCTAAATCTTAGTACTACACAGGTGTTCTTTCATTTTGCTCCTGCCAAGACGCAGTCGCTGTGGCTGGGAACTTGACACATGTCCCCGAGCTTGGCAAAGCAGCCCTTGCTTGCTAAGCTACCATGGTTTGTGCGCAACAGCTACAGAAATAAAAAAACACAAACAACAAACACAATACGGTCTCAATAATTCAAACAAAAAAGGAGCCAATGATTTTTTTGTTTGTATGAGAAGTTTGTTTATAAGAAGTTGGAAATACCATAGGTTCTCACAGATATGACTCGGGCAACATACCAAATTGTGTTGTAGAAGTAAAAAAAAAAACATAAATGAGTGTAATATAATTCGTCTTGCTATGTTTTGCCTTTAGTTATAATGTCAAGAGCCATGGAATCTGCTTATTGAATTTGAAGCTGACAATAGTAAATGTGTTCAATCAGATATTTGTTCACCACAACTGCTTCAAAACTACCACGAATTTAAATGCGAACCCCCAAAAAATGCTGAAGGGCATAATAGTATTCATTTGAATATTACAACATACATAATTACATGTCTGCACAAACCAAAAAGCTAATGCGTCACTACAAGGGCATAGTCGCACTTTTGAAAGCTAAAGTGCTTGAATTAGGTCGTGGAAGTTTGCGACTGTGACTTTCTCTGCTACACAATTCTTGCACAGCTGGTGATCTAATAGTTATAAATAGGTTTTTTTTACTAGACGAGGGTCAAAAAAAAATTTCAAATGTGTACATGTAAAACACCTTTAATATGAGGCAATCGGACAAGGCAAGAGCACAGGCCATGCTACCACAATAATACTATGAGATGACTGAAGTGGTACTCACTGAAGTCAATGAGCATCCTTCCATAACCTTGCCGTTGGTACGGCGGTAGCGTCAGGATGCAGGACACATTGTAGTTGAGGAACGAGTTCTTCTCCTGATCCGGGAAGGGCACAGGAAGCGAAATACGGAAATGTCAAGAATAAAAAACACATGTACAGGAGCTCCGGAAGTATATCCAAAGTGTGCGGGCGACATTTGTGGGCAGATATGTATGTATGTATATATATATATATATATATATATATATATATATATAACGGAAATCTGTTAAACGGAACTGCTGCTTAAATAGAACAACTTTCTCTGATATGACTGGTTTCATACTTGAACGCTTCGACCCACTTAACCTCTCAGTAAGCGTGTATCCACATGATGGACATATCCGGGCAAATCTCTTCCACGAACGATCGTTCCGCCGCCCGTCCGGCTGCGAAGCACATCCAGACGACGAACAAAGTGAGCAGACAAACACGCTGGCGAAAAAAAAAATACATAGCACTGTCTGAAGCAAGAGCTGCCTGCTTCAAATCTTTAAGCTCTTGGTCGCGCATTGCATGGGCTGTTATTCCCAAACTTATGGCTGTGTCGGCTTTAGGTTTGTGCCCTCAAGCTTCAGCGTCAACGTATACATGATAATTTGGTATTGTTTCCGAGCGCCGAACTTGTTTTCTGAGAACTGTAGGCTGAGCGACTGAAGCCATTGGCAGAACATGAGCTCGATGATCTGCGATAGTGCGAGGGCTACCAAACCTCGGAGTTGATTGCGAAAAAGAGCTTGGCATTTTCCGTCTGCAACGTCCGCAGACCTTGCACGGATGGCAGGAATCCGCGACATGGAGTCACGTGATACGCCATCCGCCGTGGAAAAGACGGATTCAGTCCATCGTGTGAATACACGCTAAACAAAACTCCTGTTAAATGAAACACATTTTTCCATACACACACGCACGCACGTGCACACACACACACACACACACACACACACACACACACACATATATATATATATATATACATGGGCATGAATACATATCTCTGTTGTTTTTGCTAAGGCGAGAAAATGAGGGGGAGGGCTCTCATAGCAGCTGTTAGCCCCACTGCCCCCCTTCCCACCCCCTCCCCCCCAAGTTCCGGAGCTCCTGCATATGTACGCAAAGAAAAACAGACCCACTTTCAAAGATATGGCTGAGCCCCGATATCGCGCAATTCACCTCAGTCTAACATATATGAAAAGCAAACCCACTGACACTGGTGAGCAAAAAGCCTTTTTAAATAGTATATGCTTAAAGAACATATATTTAAATACGAACGAGTTGGCATGATGTCCACAACTTATTTCTGAATTGTCATTAACCAAGGAATCCTAGGCTTTCAAGTGACCATTTACACGTACGCATTATTAGAAGGCCGTAGGTTTGGGCCCTGCTAGCGGAAAGTTATTTTTTCGTCCACTCTACTTGCTTTAGATTTACACCACGGTTACTACGAATGACATCTATACTTTCCTCGGCTTTTTCGTCAGTCAGTTCTCGTTAATGTGGTGCTTAACAAAAGAAAAATGAGCCCTTAAAATTTCTCTTTCTCTCATTTGTCTACGCCATGTACACCTGGTTAAAGCTCACTGGTAAGTCAGCATAAACATACCGTCAGTGAAATAAGTTTCTTGTGAATAGCCGGTGAAGATAGAAGGAAAGACGGCAGCAATTTAGATGCGAGTAGGCAGAAGCAAGGACAAAAACTGCAAGTGCACGTAACAGTGCACTGGCAAAACCAAGCAGTGCTTACCTTCGAGAAATACCCAACGATGTGACATCCTTCAGCATCGGCGTCGGTCATCACGTAAAAAAGAAAGGGCTCAACATCAAAGTAGAGAGTCTTGTGGTCGAGAAATAGCTTAGCAAGCAGGCACAGGTTCTGGCAGTAGGCCTAGAGGACAAAGAATCGTTACGAAGAAATGGGGTCAGGTAAGCCTCCTGTCACTCGAAGCCACTGTCCCCATAAAGCCTAAATACTTAAAGATAAGTAGTTAGTTTGCATGTACTGACATGTAAACTGCAAGCTTACAATGACCTCCCAAGCTGGATCAATATTCGCATCTCTCATATTCCTTCACACATCATCACAATGTATCATTTACGAGCGATATTCTTTAATTATGCTGTTCCAACACCAAACGCATACTCATTTTGAATTCTTTCTCGCACCCGTAGTGCATAACGTGACGTGACGTGTATTAGCAAAGAATGCCGAATCAGTCCTCACATGTGCTGCATACCCAGGTGCAAATCACAACAGTTTCATACAGGCAGACTGGGTCTAATCTTACAATGCCATAACCGCATTACTGCAGAAAAAAATTGCAGTTTTAGTTGGTGCTGCAAGGCATGCAAGTCTGAGGGTGCAACAATGTGCAGTAGACTACCTGTACACTTAGAGACCACATGTTGTGACACTATCAAGTTTAGTTGTACAGACGGCCAAATGTTTAACTTTCGTGCATGAGTGGCAGTTTATATTGTGTACCTTTGCCATACGACTGAATTAAGTTTCAGTTGAATTAAAGACAAGTGTATGCCCATAAAGCACATGTCCTTGAAGCAATTTATTGTAACTTCGTTCCATAATATGGCGCTGGCAGACAATAATGTGGCCGCAGCACACAATGGCTAAGGTTTCGGGCGACTTTACATGACCTCGACAGCACATGGACTTTCCTTTTGGGTGCAGTTTCAATTGCAAAGCAACTGCTTCGGAACTGCAAGGGGAACATTCCTGCATAGATGTTCTATACTGCACATAATTACAATACTACACTTCACGTTCATTCTTCGCACAGAAATTCTAAGTTGAGACACGAGCTGCATGCAAAAATCGAGTAATATGCAATTTGCGAAACGAAGACACAAACCTTGTTTTTGGCACCGTCCACCTCAAAGAAAGAGATGTTGCCCTTGCGGTAGATCTCATCACCTGGTGGGTGCCGCCACACACACTTCGCCTAGAAGAAAGTAATAAAACGAGATGCAATAACAAATGAAAATTAACTCATCAAATTTGAAGCAAATATACTAAGGCATGGAAAGTGTTCAAACACAAAGGCAACATGAACTGCAAGCCAGGCAGCTCTAATAATGGCAAGTAGCAGCACAAAAATATCCAGATGCTTTACATAGCACAGTTTTTTTTCTTGTAGCATATTACTGCATTTACTCGCATAATCCTCGCACTTTTTTTGCCTGGAAAACCGATGCAAAGTTGGGGGGTGCGAGAATTACACAAGGAAAACTTTCCACGAAAACGTACAGAGCGAAAAAGAAAACGAAGTGGTCGCAAACCGGATTCTCACACCAGCAATTAACAGCAAGCTTTAAAAGTACTAATTAAAACTTACCTCAACAATAAAAGCAGAGCTTAAACACAAGGCAAGATTTATTTGAGACACAAAAAGTGGAAGCAAATAGTCGAGAATTAGAATGCCATACACAAAGCTTGTGGGCGTTGCGGGCGTAGCAGTAGTGTTCGTCGCTCAACGGGAGCCCTCATAAGGTAAGCGTAGGACATCAATATTGGGCTGATGGCTATTCAACGGAATCGTCCGCAGTTTTTTTCTGAAGAAATAAAGTTTACCATCAATCCCAGTTTTAGGCATACGGTAGGCTCAACGCGTCTTGGTGGCTTCCAGCTGCCGTCACCAGTAGCGAACACAAAACTCGTAGACTGAAGGGCCTAACGGCGGCCCTGTTGCCATTGTTTAGAGCATGATCTATCACTTGCAACTTGAAGCAGCCGTGTAGCTTCAGTTCGCCCCATAACGTGCCAAATTACCGACACAGCATACCAAACACGCCGCAACGCTAGGGTGGCTAGAATGAGAAAGTGTGAAAAGCGAACCGTGTTTCCCTTGCCGAGCGGCGCCGTGGTGCGCGAGAGCTCCACTAGGTTGTGATTTAGCGTGGCGATTGGAGGCGCTGCTGCTAGCGTGGCTACTAGAGTGGTGGAGACGGCGGCAGGTGCAGTGTATGCCGGGGGAGGCTGCTGGTCACTCCCGGCAAGTGCTTCTCAGCAACGTTAGTGTTCCATGTGGTGCGACGACTTTGTTGTGTTTGGCCTTAAAATACTGAAAGGCTTCTACAAAGAAGAAAAAAAAAATGCTGCGGACTTGTTTTTTTTTTTTTTTTTTTGCCTACGTGCAAAGCAGAATACAGATTGTGCGCTGAAAATTTTGGCCTTTTTTGCGCGCTCTGGCATGCAAAGAAAGGTTAGCAAAAAGGGAGCGGACCATCGCAAGGGTGCACAAAGTGCTCTAGGAAAATACCGCCATCAGCGAAAAACATTTCGACGCATGGTAAATATTTTCAATTTATTAACGACAGAAAAGACTTGTGTACATGTGTGGAAGGCATCAGCAAGTGAAGATATTGAACACTTTGTGGCGCTCTTAACACTTCGGCCTTTGCTTTTCGACAAATACATTTATTTACCTGAAAATTATGTCTTCTCACTTGGTTTTTAGATTTAGCGTGCGAGAATTCGTGCATATTGTCGAAGTACAGGAAGAATGCAGCGTGAAAAGACTAGTTTAAGAGATGATGCTGTCCCACCTTATTCCCAAGCCTGTCCAAATATAATCGAAAAGTTTGCCTAAAGAACGAAAAAGACGAAATGCTGCTTCATCGAACTACGTACCAGCAAATAAGTGACCCGATAACCCTAGCAGTTGGAGGATTGCCCAAATGACTCGACAAGCTGCCAAGGCAGGCGACTAGATTGGGATCTAAGGGGACTTCTGTATCCGTCAGAGTCTCTCTAAAACCTGGTAGAAACTATGGAAACCAAGTTGACACATGTGCTTAGCACAGTGCGCCTGAATTCGAATTCAGTAGCCAGTCTTCTACGATCTCTAAGCAGTTTCCAGAAATTGGCTGTGTTGAACATTGCAAATAGTTGAACAAGGCAGTGGTCAGATGATTTCACATGACGAGAGTTCTTCTTCTTTTAAGGGTCTGAACCAAGCAAAAACCAAGAAAGAAGTCAAGCAATTGAAGCCCTGTGACACGGAAGAAAAATGTCTGTTAGTTACTGTAATAAATTTTGTTGCAGCCATAAAACTAAGTGTTGTCTCAGTTTCTACACATGTTTCAGAATACTGTCTCAAGTGTAATACAAGTCCAGCATTGAGAAAATAGCAATGCGTAACTGCACGCGGTAGGTCGCACTGTCCAGGCAGATTTAGCAGCAAACGTCACAATCTATCGCGGGTTAGCACGAGGTAATGTTGGCAAACTAACGTCGTCAAAGATACCCCGCTCCACTAGAGTAAGCTTTTTTTTTTTTACTTCGTTAAGATGTAGTTCAATGTCACAGAAAAAAAATGGCCCCGTATCTGCATGTAAGCTGCAAATGTCGTCGAAAGACGATAGTCTTGTGTGTGGAGAGAGTGAACAAAACATTTATTTGATGTTCTGTGCAAGAAAATCGGTGAATGGTTGTCTGGAGGCGCTGCGTTAGAGTGCCTTGAGCGTGCAGCGGAGGCGAACGAACACATCAAGTCACGTCACACGTGAGACATGAGCGCCATTTAGCAGTTTTCTTGTAAAATGGAGCGCGTGGCTCTGAGACAGGTGTACGTGCCCGTCTCAGAGGTGATAAGGTGTAGAACGCAAGGCGAAGGGTAGGTGCCACCACCCTCTCGTTTTAGCAAAGCATTGGAAACACTCGCTTGTTCGTGCAAGCGTTGCATGGTCAGGGCAGCGTGATAAGCGCTACAGTCCTTAAAACTACCTATGTATGCCTTTTCTAATAAAAGACGATCATGCAAAATTTATACGTGTTGTTGTGGTGCCCCAGACATGTGCAATAATCGCTTTTTAATCGACAATTGCACAAGTATTAACGCTGAACCTTGAGCAACATTGGTGGGCGCTGTGAATGGGGTAGGCCATTTCAAGTACCCGATGCTGTTAAGAGTGGATAAACACACAAATGTACAGACAGACCAAAATTTTTGCGTCGAAGGTCCCCAAGAAAGACTATCGTCTTTAATAAAACAGTTTTAGTTTCACCAAGCGTATAAAGAGTGGTGCAGTCGGAATGACGCTCCGTCGAAAACTTCGCTCGAATGAAATGTTCGTTCAGCAAATGCGTGTATTCATATTAGGTGAAATTGCTATTTGATATTTACTTTGACAAAACTCCTGTACTGGCGAAAAACTCGAAACGACCATTGCGGGTTCATTGCAATGGAGAAAGCTGGCAGCGCCTCCGACTACAGCGCCACCGCTGCAAGCTCGCGAGTGGGAGCCGCCTTGGAGCGGCCGGTTTTCACACCTCCCAATTCTAGCCAACCTAGCAACGCGCACTGGCCACTTCGGCTTGGCTTGGATTGGATTGAAAATCCGTGCAATGGTACGCTGGATGGTTAAGAGATGACGCGAGATGGCGTATGAGATGACGCAGATGGCGATGACGCTTTGGCTGGAACGAGCAGACGACTTTATTGCGGCAGTTTTCGGGGGTGCGATAATTACTCGAGGAAAAAAAAAATTGTATTTTTGTTGGGCGATGTGAGGGGTGCGAGAATTATGCGAGTGCGAAGATTACGTGAGTAAATACAGTAGGTACTAAAAACCAGCAACCAAGAATTGAGGATGATCACTGTTTAATTAATAAACAGGAAAATCGTGCACATACAACATTTACACCTCATGCACCCTTCACACTTATGAAACCTCAAGTATTTAACATTCCCATTTTTACTATAGCCACAGCCCTTTAACCACAGCATCACAATTAATAACATTAGTTGAAAGTCAGCTGCAGTGTTGTGTGTACCCTTAATCTTTGTCAGATTTTGGCGCACTTTACAGCGGCGTGACAATTTCACACGCAGGGGTGAGCCTTCGTATCCTATAATTACAATGCATTATTATAACTATGTATTGTTATTTTTTTTTGCCAAAGCTTTATGGCAACCAGGATCCATCTAGAAATACATATCTACAGTGGCGTCCCACATAGACCAGTTTGTCTCATGGTGTTGTGCTAAAGGCTTCCCTAACTTGTTTATGGTAAAGAAGATGCATATGTAGGTGTGCGCATTGCTTCTCTTCATATCACACTTGGTAAACCAGTGCTTCGGATGGCTGGCTAGCAACATCGACAAAATCGCCTTCACGCTGCCAGGGGAAACATCACTGCCTCTCGCTGTAGCAGTCCAACGAAGGGCAGTGAAAGGCAGTGAGTGTCTGCTGAGGCACCACCCAATAGGGGAATACTCAGAATTACCGTTAGTGGCATCAATCACTCGTGACTAGCATAAAACTTCAGCAGATAAAACCTATCAATCAACCAAAGCACCAGAAAAAAGCGAAGTCGCTTACGGTGTGCCGTCGCAGGATGGTGGGGCTGCCCATGTATTTGAGGCAGAACTGGCACAGGTACAATTTGGGTAGCGCCTGGTACTCCTCCGGGTAGGGAGAGCTGTACCAAACGTCCATCTCATACCGGCCCATCTCCAGCACTCGAATGCCCTGCTGATGGTGATGGTTGTGGTGGTGCCTGTGGTTGCTGCCGTGGCTGCCAGAGGACGAGCGCGGGGCAGGGGACGCTAACAGCGATGCCGCTCGCTGATGCTCCTGCGGGGATCGCCCACACACAGCTGCTTTTACAACGTCTAACTTGCTTTCAGAGACAGCTAACGCGTGCATTTCATGCACTGCACTTGTTTACAAAGAATACCAAGACCTGCAAACTGTTCCGGCATGAGGACCGAGCAGCAATTATCGTATTTACTCGCGTAATGAACACACTCACACAATAAACACACCCCTAACTTCAGTCATCAAAATAGGGAATTTTTCCCCTCCCCCCACGTAATAAGCGCACCCTCTACATTCATTCGCCGCAGTCCCACTAACCGACACCTGGCACCTCCTCAACCGTTGGACTTCTTCCATTTTTAAAAATTATTTTGCCGACCCCCTTCGGCCACCTCGCCCCGCTCCCTCCCCCTTCCTCGCCCGTTGCCACGTGACATGTTGTTTTTCTTACTATCTGTGCCCAGCACGTTCCCAGTCTTTTTTTTATCTGTGCGCCACAGCGGCGTTCACGAACAGTGAGAAGCGCACAGCGAGCGAATATCACGAAACTGCCTGCGCCAACTGACGATGGCTTCCTGCAAATACGAAAAAGCCCCACCACGTGCACGTGATTTTCGAGCGACGACGACAAGATTTGCTGTCGGGAAGGGTCCTTAGGGAAAGGATTTCGGTCTGCTGCTACTAGCGCAGTAAAGCCGGGCAACGTTGTGCATGGCAACAGTGACGTGAGACGGACCAGTCGGTCCGCTCCTTGAGGCAGGTGATTTGAAGCGCGCTATCCCGATGCGGAGCACTAAAACGTGATTTTATTTCAAAATAGGCCCTTCCTTCGCACGAAAGTAACACTACGAGGTTTCTGGCCCACCATTTTAACAATCAACGTCGACTTAATAGCTGGCTTTAGTGCCCATTTAATGGGATGCAGAAATGGGCACATATGCATGCAAAATGGTCGTGTTGGCAGAAGAAGATGGAACACTGCTCTGGTTTCACTGCTGAGCTGACTGATCTGGGTATGGCAGCGGGTAAATCAGGGCTTCATGACTTCCATATTTTTTCTCCTCCACAAACAAAGTCGTCTTTTGATAGTGTCCACACAACGGCGATGACAGCAAAATGCCCAATTAAACAAAAATCCATAATGACTCTTATGGTCAGTGCTCACCATTTCCTCTGCTGCTTTGGCTTGTGCTTCCCGAAACATCTCCAGGTCATACACAGGAGCCAGGCCATTCAGGTCTGGTTCACGGTCAGAATCACTGAGTAATATCAAAGAGAGGCACAGACAAATTTACAGGACAGAACAAGATTTCCATTATGCATACTGAAATTTAGTGATCCTTAAAAGAAAACAACTAAAGGCAGGCAAACAATTCCAAGTTTTGGGATGGTAAGTAAGAGGTATACTTGTAATGATACACAGTTGCACTAGGCTGGGGTGTCAGCCATCTATTTATTTCTAACACCTTCTTTCTCTTCGTCTCCCTCCAACCCTGCCTAACGTCCACGTACACTCTCCCTCTTTGAAGACTCATCCCTCCTGGGGTGATACGTGAAGACGTTTCCAATGGTCGCAAACTCCAGCACACCATCATCGTTCGTGTAACCAACCCTTTTGGGAACGCTCTGTTGCACTGCGATCTGCACCTACGCGTTAAGGTACCATGTACACCTGCTTTGTGCCTGGAAGACCTTTTCTGACGAGCACCAGATCGTTCAGTTGTATCTGAGGTATCCGCGCGTTGTGGTGGCGGTCAAAGCTTCTCTTCATATTTTTCCGGTATCGCTCGTAGGCTTCCGATGGTTTTTCGTTTTTTCGCACAATTGCAGGCGGTCTGCAATGCTAAGTTCTTGATCAGCAGGAAGCACGAGTACCTGTCCGAAAGCTGCAAAATATGGGCTACAGCCGATGCTCGCATTGTGCGACCGATTGTGATGAGCAACAGCTGCCTCCAAGCAGCACTTCCATCTGTCCTGAAAACCTCGGTACATCGAAATGAACTGCTTCAAATCCCAAATGATTCTTTCAGCCATGCCATTTCCTGCAGGATAGTATGGAGCACAGCGTCGCAATACAAATCCTCGTTCTTTCGCCCAATGTTGCAAACGCTGACTGAAAAACACTGGTCCATTATCTGATATTACTATTTTCGTATTCTTTAATATCTCTCGACTCAAAAGAGCGATAACACTATTTGCGTCTTCCCTTCCCGGCCATGCAGCCACTATTCTTGTGCACTGTTCTATTGCCACTAGGAAAGATTGCGTTTTTCTTACTCCTGCAGCCTTCTTCTTGAGCTCTGCGAAATCCAGATGAATGACTTCAAATGGTATGTCGGAATGTTGAGGCAAAACCATCTCGTCCGTTCTCTGAAGGTACTTGGCTTTGTGAACTTGACATTGATGACAAGATTCAGCATACCGTTGAACGTACTCTTTCATGCGTTTCCACTGGAAACGCTGACGAATCTTGTGATATGTCCTCCAAAAGCCGTCATGTCCACCTGAGTGCGGGGAGTCGTGATAGAGTTCCAAAATTCAAAGCACCATTTTTTCTGGGACTGTGAACTTTCCGTTGTGGAACTTAAGTTCTTCAGTTCCCTCCCACAACAATGTTGCGTTGACATTTTCCTGATCAGGAATTACCGAAAGTCTTGAAAGCGCATCTGCGTCCTTGAGGTGTTCTCCAGGCCTGTGGTGGACCACAAAAGTAAACCGCTGGAGTTCACTCACCCACCAGCAATTTTTCCTCGAAGTTCGGTGAGGTTAAGGATATACATTAAGGCTTGGTGATCCGTGAAGAGTGTGAAGCTCCTGCCATTTAGGTAAGGCCTAAAATAGCGTACGGCCATTAAGACTGCCAAGGCTTCCTTCTCTGTAGTTGTGTAGTTAAGTTGCATTTTTGAAAAGGTGTACGAATAATACCCGACGACCCTCTCTTGGCGGCTCCGTAGAGAGCCGGTATCTCTCTGGTAAAGGGCTGTGCCTGTGCCATAATAAGAAGCATCGTTGTTCAGTTCAAAGGGCAACTTGAAGTCTGGAAGAATCAGGACCGGATCCTACGAAATAATGGTCACAAGGCTGTGATAAACAGATTCACACTCTGCTGTCCACTGAAATGGCACATTTTTCTGAGTCATTTCTGTGAGGCATTTGGTTTTCGTCGCATAATCTCTAATGAATGGCCGGAAATGCCCTGCAAGACCCAGAAATACCCCCAAAGAGTGCAAGTCATATGGCTTCTGCAATTTTGCGATTCGTTCGACTGATTCCTGTTTTGTTGTTTTGGTTTGGCCGTCAAATACTCTTCCAAAACACCACTTTACTTTGGAAAAACTCACTCCTCTTGTCATTAATTTTGAGCTCGGCGTCACAAATTGCTTGAAGTACACTAGCCAGATGGTTTGTGTGCTCTTCCTCGTTGTGGGAGTATACTATTATATCGTCTATGTAGACATTACAAAACTTTCCGAGAAACTGTCGCAAGGCGTCGTTCATCATTTTCTGAAATCAAGTTCTTCCATCCAAATGATAGTCGGCTATACTCATAGATGTTAAAGGGGGTGATGAAGGCAGAAATTTCTTGCAATTTTCAGAAATTAGGCCTTGCCAAAATCCTTTACATAGGTCAATCTAAACTCAATGCACGAGAGAACTCTGCAGCCACCCGTGTCATCTATGATAGAGTATACCGTAATTACTCGAATCTAACGCGCACCTTTTTTCCGGTTAAGCGAGTTCATAAATCGCATGCGCGTTAGAATCGAGTACGAACACAAAAATTACGGTAAATCTATTGCCATCGGCAAATCCAAAATGGCCGCCCCCTACGTGCGTCGGCATGGCGCGTCGGCCATTTCTGCCTATGTGTTTCTCATGTGCGGCACTTCGTACGTGTGCTGAGGAGTTCGTCATCTGGTAGTGCATTAGCATCGACAGCTTGGAAGGGCCGACTCCAAAAACTCGAGTGCACCACGATGCCGCTTTTAAAAGAAAAGTCAGCGCGTGTGCAGAAACGGACGGAAACCAGGTCGCTTCGCAGTCGTTCGGAGTTCCCGAAACGTGCGTGCGGGACCGGCGGAAACAAAGCAGAAGATTGTCAACAGCAAAGCTTTACGCAAAGGCTTCAGTGGACCACAACAGGGTCCGTTTTTGCAAATTAAAGAGCTGCTCGGTGAGTATGTGCTTGAGCAGCGAACGGCACAGCGGCCCGTGACGACAGAACTGCTCCAAGTGCGGGCTATGCAATTAGTCTTAGAAAAAGGTCTAATTTGGAGCCAGTTTAAAGCGAGCAGGTGCTGGCAAACTAACTTTATGAAGAGGAAAGGCTTTTCCCTCCGAAGGGGAACATGCATATGCGAAAACTTTTGCGGAGGAGTACGATGAAAAGCTTCAAAGTTTTCAGAGGTTCGTCCTAAACTTACGCGCAACAACGGCTACCTGCTTGGGCAAATCGGGAATGCCGATCAGACGCCTCTTTACTTCGACATGCCTGGCACCACAACCGTCGAGAAGAAGGGGGCGAAGCAAGTTCGCGTGCTGACATCGGTCCACGGTAAAACTACAGTGACGGCAATGCTCTGTTACACGTCAGATGGGCACAAACTTCGCCCGTACCTCATATTTAAATGGAAGACGCTCCCGAAAGGAGTCGTTTTTCGGGCCAGCGAAAAAATGGGTGCGCGTTGCAATTGATGTCTTACTTTTTTTTTTTCGCGGTGGAAATCGGGTGCGTGTTACAATCGAGGGCGTGATAGAATCGAGTAAATACGGTATACGTGGCATAGTAAACGGAAAAAGCTCAGTCTGCTTATTAATTTGTCTGTAGTCCGTGCAGAGTCGAAGACTTCCATCTTCCTTTGGTGCAATTGTGATGGGTGAAGCAAACGTAGACGTGGATGGACGGATGATCTGCGCATCCAACATCTTTTGAATTTAATTCTGAAGCCACACTCTCTTCTCTCGTGACATATTATAGGGCCTTTTTCTCACAACCATGGTATCACTGAGCTGGAATGGTACCTCAAACTTTATAGTTGCCGCAGGATATCCTTTCAAGCACAGCGATTCCGGGTAAAGCGTCCTAACATCTTCACCTGACGATGGATTCCGCAGAGTCTTTGAAGGCGAAACTGCCGCATTGAAAGTGCGGCACTTTTTTTCTATGGTAATTTCTCCTGTCCAGTAGATATTAAGGCGATATGCGCTGATGACTGGACGTGAAAGCAGTAATTCATACGGCACTCCGTCTACCAGTGCTTGCGCAGTGACAGTGTTGCCGAGACACGATATGGTTATACAAGTCCATTTATCGTGAACATCTCGCCTTCCATAATATCCGTGTACTTCTACTGGCCTTCCCTCTTTTACTTTTGCCCTTTCAACAATATTTTCGTTTATAACAATGACGCTAGCTCCGCTGTCAACTCACGCGCTCCGTTCCTTTCCATCAACAAAAACAGATATGTACAATAGACTTGTATGAGACAGATAAACAGCTTCTCTTAACGTCGTCGGGTGGAAGCCGAGACCCTCTCTATTTAGTTTTTTGTCGCGTCATCTAGCTCTTCGCCATGGTCTGAGCCTCCCTGGTCGGTCAAAAAAGACACTGGTGTTGCAATAGGTCTCCAGTTTGCAAGCGGGCGTCGTTCCTCAGCTCGTGTGGTCCCTGTATTCCTTGCAGCAGGTGTCATGGGTTGACGCTGGGTTCCTTGGTCCTGAAGGTAGATGTTTCGCATTCCCCGCAGGAGTTCTTCGACCGTCTTGGGTCCTCCCATTTGTATTTGCTTCTGTAGGTCCGGACTTAAACCATGGATGATAAGCGGAACCACAGACGTCTCAGGCAAAGACGAGTCCGCCAGATGTAGCAAGCGCCTTTTCTCATAAAAATAGCTGAGTGCAGATTGCCGGGAATGGGTGGGATGTGCAGTTGAGACCTGATGTTTCTGCGAATCTGCACGGAATCAGGGCACTGGTCAATAGAGTTGGGGCCCAAATCGTCGAGTAACTTGAGGCCCGATTTGGTCCCAGAAAGCCTGAGAAGCTGTGAGAGCTCTTGCGCCTCTATTATCTCTTCGAGTGTATTGTGAACACCGAGCTTGCAAAGGTTTTCAGTGCTTGTGCTTACAGGCAAGCTGAGCACGAGCATGAAGACCTTTGTTACTCCTCTCTGCAACATGCCAATTATGCATAGCCGCCGAGTATGAAAGGTGGCAGAGCACAAACGCATGTATGATGCAGATGAGGCCGAGAGCACTTTCCGTCTTGGTAGTGATCTGCCCGAGTGCAGCTCCGTTAGCGCCGTTGGACTCGATATACATTCCCAATATTCGCAGCGAATCCACTCTGGGCACTGGGGAACTGTCACCAGTGAAAAGCCGTATTTCACTTTGAGACGCAGGTTTCCAGTCACGGTGGCCACCGCCTCGGGGTCTTTTCTTGTAGAGCAGAAGTTCACATTTCGATGGGGAGCACCTGAGACTGGTGGGACAGAGGAAACGTTCGGTCATGTCGATTGCACGCTGCATGGCTTCCTCAACTTGACCATCGCTCCCACCGGTGCACCAGATGGTTATATTATCTGCGTAGATGGTATGATTGATTCCTTGAACCTTCGCGAGTTCCTTGGAGAGCCTGATCATCACAATGTTAAATAGTGTTGGTGAAATAACTGAGGTGTGCCGCGTGCACCAAGGTTGATCTCTCGTGAGAAGTACCCTTCGATCTTGAGCTTGGTAGTTCTCTGGCAAAGAAAGGATCTCACGAAGTCGTAGACCTTCTTCCCTAGCCCTAGGCTGGCAATAGACTGGAGAATGAATTCGTGAGAAACGTCGAAAGCCTTCTCCAGGTCTAATCCAAGGATGACTCTGGTATCACCTGTGCTCCGGTCGACGATCTGATGCTTTATCAGCTTCATGGCATCCTGTGTCGAGAGGCCAGCTTTGAAAACAATAATATTGTGGGTGTACATGTCATTGGTCTCGAGGTGCACCTTAAGTCGGTTCAGAAGGGCGTGCTCTGCGACCTTACCGACATAGGAAGTTAAGGAAATCGGTCTAAGATTATCTATTCCTGGTGCTTTACCAGGTTTCGGGATTGTAACTGTGTAGGCCGTCTTCCACTGTGCGGGGACCTCCCCACTGCGCCACACCTCATAAATCTTCTCCGTAAGAAGTTCGATGGAGTCATCATCAAGGTTCTTGAACATCTTATTGGTTATACCATCAGGGCCATGATAGTAGGCTTCACGCCGTTTCTTACTGGAGTCAGCACGAAATTCTCATAGTACTGAAGTTTCATGTTGATCCTCACCGTACTTTTAGCAAGTAAATGGTCTGGAGTGAGCTTCATTTTAGTGCTTATATAGGAAACAAATGCGTCAGTGCTCACTGCCTCCGGAAGAGGTAGTTCCTCTTCATCTTGAGGCGTGGCAGTCAAGATCCGCACTGTGTTAATTTGCTCCAATGGTGAAGTCCACCCACATCTTGAATGTCCGCACAGAAAGTATACGCGGCTGCGCCGATTTGTAAAGATACACAGTTGCAATAGGCTGGGGTGTCAGCCATCTTATTTATTTCTAACACCTTCTTCCTCTTCGTCTCCCTCCAACCGTGCCTAACGTCCATGTACAATACTCATTAAACAGAAAATGCATTGCAGGCTTATTAATAAATTGCTCATCTACAAAAGCCACTCTCATTGTGAGAGAGGCTTGCTAAGCCAAAAAAGACACAACAGTTGGAAGCGATTGTGATACAACCTTGAAGGTAATGCATAAGATTTCCGGGACGTCACACGTTTTGAAACACCTACCTACCTACCTACCTACTTGGTCCCGGTAAATTTTTAATCGGTAGAGGAGGACTACATTGCATTATAGAAAGACCAAAGACCAGACTATGCAGGTTTCCAAAGGTTTTGCTAAGACATACATGCCAAAATATGAGAAGAATACTTTCAAAATCAGCAATATTGGTTGCCTTTTACAATAAAAACTAAAGTGTGCTATACTTCACAGCTGGTGTAAATTCTAAGCAAATGTACCGCCCTTTAAACAGTTTTTTCAACAAGAGAATTCACGGAATAAAAGAATGTGTTAGAAAGCCGGAAGAACAATAATGGCTTTATCCACAAAGATATAAGCCCTTGAAATTGCCATCTTTTGTTCATTCAAGGCTGGAATAAGCACCGCACGATATCTCTACCACTGTCCAGAAACCAGATATCACGCAAAATGTTATCGCGTAACCAGAATACTCAACACAAGACTCTCTAGGAATCGTGACGTAATATAAGACACAATATGTATGTAATGCAGTCTTCAACGCACAACTTTAAGCACTCATGCCATATCAAATCAATGTTCGTAGATAATATATAGCAAAGCACAAGTGGCTACTATAGATAGATTTAGTAAGTGTGCAAGCAAAATGCAGACTGACGCTCGGCTCTCATGTTTTTTTTGGACAGGCCGCACTCCTAAATATCACGCGGAAGGCTCAAACTTGCACTGTTGCTAAAAAATCTCACTCACAGCATGCCTCTGGACCTTGTTCTTGGAGACATCTTCTCCCTTCGATGTTCCAAGATCTTTTGGTAGCGTTCCTTCTGCTCGGTAGTTTGCACCTGCCAAGCAATTTGTACAGCTATGTGTATTCTCATCGGCGGGGAAAAAAAAAGGTAACAACTAGTAAACACTGCAAAAGCCGCAAGATTACTGCAGAGCAGGAAGTGCCACAGCAATGCCGCTGACCTCCGTTGATTCTAATCTGTACGACAATACTCACTGGTTCAGTGGACGCAACAGCGAGTATCAAATGCAGCTAGAGTGTTAGATTAACATTTTGTAATGCCACAAGACTAGGCTTCTGCGAATAGCAAATTTTAGGTTTGAAGCGAATAGTCATTTTGGTCGAATAATTTCTAATCGAATTCGAATAGTATATATGACATAAATAAATGGGCATATTTATCACGACCCAACTAACCTACACAATATTTTTTTTTTTAATCGAATGAAGGCCTCTATGCAAACGCCTTCTTTTTTTTCGTTCGAAGGAAGTCAAAAGAACTTTGGTACAACTTCAGATAGGATGTGAGTGATAACCTGTAAAATACATAACCATTTAAAATTTATTATACTTGGAGCATATAACCTGTCATAACAAGCTTTCATGCTTCGAAAAATTATGAATCCATTTGAGAGTAATATGTAAACTTAAAGGGCCCTGCAAGTAGCCAAGGAATAAATTCACTAAAAAGCTGATTGCCTCACAAATTCACTGCCGCAAACATTTTTAGAATCCGTCGAGTACGAGCATAGTTGCAAAGATTTGTCGCACGCTGCAATTCCATTCTCTTTTCTCGTCCCCACAAAAGCACTGGAAGCTAAGCAGGGAGGGATAGCATGGGGAAAGAAAATAGGTTGTGTGCATCTAGTGACTTCGAGCACCTTTTCTCTCCTTTTTTTTTTCCTTTGAATACGCGTCTTTTCAGGGCAATCGCGCACATACGCGTGGACAAAGGGCGGCCTCCTGCGGCGGCTCAGGTAACGAACAAGCGCGCCATGCTCAAATCAGACAATCGCTGATACAATGGCTGTGACAAGCGATTTTTGAGCTTGTGGCGTCATTTGCAGAGTGAAGAGTAAAGATCTTTAGCTGACTGAGAATTTCTTGTGAATAGTAGGCTGCGTGCTTCGCTTTAATATTTGGCTCGCCTGGTCTCGTGAGCCTTGACAACCAATCCACAGCCTTTTCTGACCACGTTCAAAAAATGTTGCAGTGCCCCTTAAGTCTGAAGTGGGGCTTCGCGGCAGAACGAATTTCCTTAGGCAAGGCGCTTTCACAGCTTAGCAACCCTAGACTGCAGCGAAACCACCTTTACAAGTGATTAGATGTGGATTAATATACATTCATTCGTTCATTTCAATACTTTGAAATTTTCACTAACTTAATTAGGAATACCCTACAATTCATTCAAATATTCGAGCACTCAAATATTCGCACAAGCCTACACAAGACATAACTTTTACTATGAACAGACCTCTTGTAAGCGAGAATCACAATGTAATGCAAGACACAATAGGTAATGGAGCATGCCGTCCTCAACCGAGTCAACAACTACCTCGAATCTACGGAAGCATACCCGCACACCATCTTCAAATTCCGGGCACGCCTGTCAACTCAGGATGCGATGCTCCAGCTCAAGCATTAGGTCCTGGACAACAAGTCTCGCAGGACTAAGGCGATCTTGGGCATGGACCTAGAGAGTGCTTTTGACAGTGTCAGCCATTCTGCCATTCTGAAACAGATCTCTGAGCTCGACCTCGGAGAGAGGGTTTACAACTACGTTTGAGATTTCCTCACAGGAAGAAGAGCCAACCTTCTAGCGGGTGATATCGTAAGAGAGGAACAGGAGCTTGGTAGCAGTGGGACCCCACAGGGCTCGGTGATATCCCCGATGCTATTTGATTGGATCATGATTGGCCTTGCCAAACGGCTCCAAACAGTGAATGATGTGAATCACACGATATATGCAGATGACATCATGATCTGGTGCTTCAGGGGTAGTGACGGCAAGATTGAGACGGCCCTGCAGGATGCTATTCAGATTGTCGAGGGGTACCTTGCTGGCACCGGTCTCTGATGCTCTCCCAAAAAGTCTGAACTCTTGCTGTACCGGCCTACCCTTTTAAGGGAAGGCCTTCCAAGAGTTCATTAAAACAAGAGCAAATGAAGAGGTTCGATTGCACACCAAAGGTGGGGGCACCATTCCTATTGTCAAACACATCTGAGTCCTTGGAATGATTATCGAATCCAACGGGGTGAAAGGTAAGACTGTTAACAAGCTCTTTAACAAGGTCACAAACAGCGTCAGACTTATCAGGTGAGTCACAAATAGAAGAGATGAACTGAAGGAGGCCAGCCTCATTAGGCTGGTACACTGCTTTGTCATTTGCCACAACGCATACGTAGCGTCTAAGCACAACTGGTATAAAGGCGAAAAGAAGAAGAGTAGTATCATCATCCGTAAGACATACAAAGTTGTCCTTGGCCAACCAGAATCACCCAGCACTGATAGATTACTCCAACTGGGAGTTCTTTGGATGAAATAGTGGAAGGACAGCGAATCTCACACCTCGAAAGGCTTGCTCTTACCAAGACGGGAAGACATATATTACAAGAGTTGGGCATCACATATCACAGACAGCATGGTGACAGGGTGGACATACCTAAGCAAATTATAGAGAAAATACACATTGCCCAGATTCTAAGAAACATGAACCCGATTCACAACCCAGGTCGCAGAAAAGCCAGAGAACTACACTTCTACTGAAAACATACTGCAACAATAAATACACGCGTTTCACTGATGCAGGGTGCTATCCGGACGGGCGGTGATTCGCTATCGTCATGATTAACACCGACAAAACGACAATGCGAGCAGCTAGTGTTAAGACCAAACACCCAGAGATAGCTGAAGAAATGGCCATTGCTCTAGCTATAACTGACCCTCAAACTCAGACTGTGCTCAGTGACTCACGCTCAGCAGTACGGAATTTCCCTAAGGGTCAGATTTCGACTGAAGCCCTTCACGTACTGGTGCATGCCGGCCAGATTTCCCAGGCTACCTTGATCTGGATCCCCGCCCATATGGGCGAAGTCTGCCTGCCCTTCCCCAACCTTAACGAGGTAGCGCACTCCGCCACACGCAACGCTACAAACCATGGAGGAGGCGATGGGCTTGTTGAAGAGTATGTGAACCGTGATCGACCTACGGGATACAATGACCTGACCAAGGCGTTCTACTTGGCCCGCCGATGCTATTCTCCGCCTCATGACAATTTATGCAGAGCCCAAGCAGTTACCTGGCGACAGTTGTAAACGAGCACTTACCCTAGTCTACTGATATGTCATCCAATATACCCCGAGATCTATAGTACTAACCTCTGTAAGGTCTGCCAGACAGACACAGCTACGATAACACATGCTCTGGGAATGCGAGGCTAAGGCGAAGCGCATTATTCCCGATGTTCTTTTGGCGAGGTGGGAAACCGCTCTGCGGAGCTCCAAGCTCGCCGACCAACTCTGGGCAGTCCAGCAGGCCCGTGAAGCGGCGGAGAGGCAAAGCCTTGAAATCCCGACGTAGAGATTTGAGCCCGGGCCACTAATTTGCCGGACAATAAATAAAATGTTTTTACACCACCCCCACCACAATAGGTATGGCCACTGCGAAGTTATGGTACCCGATTCTTTACGCATTCACAATTTCTAACCAATGGTAATAAAGAATAGAATATTTAAGGGGAGACACGGGTCTTTTAGAGCAAAAAAATTGCCAAAAAATCAATTTTTAAAATATTTTTTTTCGAAATCTCGACGTCCAAAAGAATCTATTGCTGGAATATTAACGCGTTCTGATCAGTATTTATTTTGCTGTTGCGTTCTAAAGAGATCTTCATGATCACTCTCACTCGAAAACGCCCTCCCAAAACGGGCAATTTCAATGCCGTCGTCTGCGGTAACCGTTAGCCGCAGCACGGCCAATTTGGAATTATTCGAAAGCTAAATGCTTCAGCAATCCGGTTTTAGCGAGAAAACAACTCTAAGTCTGGCGACTATGGAGCTACACGCCACCGAAAAGGAGGGAATACTCGCACGGTATTGGCGCGTTTATATCACGTGGGGCAAATCTGCTCTCCGATTAGACGACCGAAATTTTGTCTGCCAGACTGTGTGCAACAATGCGCGACTCCTTGTCACAAATTGTTCGGACGCGACGATGGCTGGCAGGCGACGCGAATTCGTGACAGCTCATGCCTACGGCAAAAAACGCAAGCGTCGGTCTTGGATACCTGAAGCAGCGTCGAGTGAATCGACGGCGACGAGCTCCGCGACATGCGCCAGCGAGTGTACGATATCCACCGAAGCTGCAGCCACGCAAGCGATGCCTGTGACCGACGACACGAGGACAACGCGCGTCGATACGCATTTTGTGACAGAATGCGGAAAAATGGCAATTGAGCATCGCGCGGAAGAGCAACAACAGAAGCTGTCTTCGTTATCAGCTACCCGCCAAAAGCGGTCGCTTATCGGAGATTCCCCGGAAGCGGCGGGGTCCGGCAGCGAGTTCATGCTGCTAAGCCTACCGCTGCTGAACCAACTGCTTCGGTGCGCGAAATGCGAATTCTGCTCTGGCCCATTGAACGTTTCACAGGGCGACCGCGAGTACGGATTGGCAGTTAGAATAGTGGTGAACTGTGCAGTCTGCGGAAATGTCAGCGCCGGATGGAGCTCGCCGAGAGCAGGGGGGAATGCGACCTGCAACCCTTTCGAAGTAAATGTGCTTGCGGCTCGTGCAGTTATGAGCACGGGAAATGGGCAGACCGTGCTAAACGACATTTTTTCGGCCCTGAATGTGTCTCGTCGTGGAATGCACAACAAAACGTACCAAGACTACGTCAAAACCAAGATGAACCCTGCCGCGATGAACGCATCCGCGGGTATTATGAGCGAGTGCGCAACAGCTGTGAAGGCCATCTATTCTGAACTGAATTTCCTACGACGGGACTTGGCTAACTCGTGGCCACTTGTCACACATTTGTGTGGGAACTGTAATAGAACTGTTTTCGGGCTATGTGTTGGACTTCAAAGTTCTCTCGAACTTCTGTTTGGGTTGCGAGATTGGCCCCAAGGACGACGACCCTCGATACAGTGAGTGGCGAGCTCGGCACAAGTGCCAAAAAAACTCTTCGAGCAAGCCTGGCCAGATGGAGGTGGAGGCTGCCAAAATTCTGTTTCGCCGGTCCCTCGAAAAGCATGGGTTCCGCTACACAACGATGTTGTGCGATGGCGATAGCCGCGCTTTCAACAGCCTTCAGGAGGAGCAAGTGTATGGCTTCGTGGCTATCGAAAAGGAGGATTGCATAAATCATATACATAAAAGGATGGGTGCTGCATTGAGACACCTCCTGCAGAAGAGCAAGGGGGAAGGTCGGCCAAGCCTCGGTGGCAAAGGAAAGCTCACCGCTGAGCTTGTAACGAAGCTTACAAATTATTATGGTTGGGCACTCAAGGCACACCAGGGAAACATCGATGAGATGGAGAATGCTGTCTTTGCCACTTACTATCATGTGACTTCTACTGATGCAAAGCCACAACATTCACGGTGCCCAAAGGGAGAAGACTCATGGTGTGCCCACAAGGCAGTGGCAAGGCAGCAGGCTCCTTTTAAGCATCGGTACGACCTCCCGGAATATGTTGCAGAAGCGCTCCTTCCAGTGTACACTCGCCTCTCAGATCGAAAGCTGTTGGAGCGCTGCCAAAGAGGCAAAACTCAAAACTCAAATGAGAGCCTCCATTCAGTGATCTGGTCGCTTGTACCAAAAACCAAGCACGCCTCGCTCTTCACAGTCGAAACTGCTGTTGCGAAAGCGGGGTTGCTCGGTTCAATGCTGGAAAGAAACGTGCTTCTGAGGCCATTTTGAAGGAGCTGCATTTGAACCAAGGCAACACAGATGTTGAAAGATGTCTGGAAAAGGACCAGCAGCGGCTAGCGGCATGTGGCAAAAAGCATACCAGAGCAGAAGACTTCAAGATTGCCATGAAGAAGAGGCGTGTGAAAGAGAGTGATGGTGATTATAAGCCAGGTGGCTTCTAGAAAAAGGACTCCCATCTGTTGCTTTTTTGGCAAGAATTAAACCTATATATAGTCTTCAAACTTCTTTTTGTGTTTTCTCAAAATCAGTTTTTTGCCTATGTGCTATACTGTTGCCCACAGTATCTTTTGATCTAGTGATCAGATTTCAACGATTCTTGTTGCAATTGACAGCTTACGAGTTCCTATACACAATAAGACAACTAAAATTTATATTTAGCCAAGAGAAAATTTTTTATGTGCTGATAAATCTCATAAAAATTCTCATGTTCCCAACCATTATATAACATATGGCAATAACTTTTATAAATATAGAGCTAAAATTATAGTGATAGTATAGTTGTGATCCTTGATTATTCTAGACCATGTCCATATAAAGTGTTCAAGGATATTTAATGATTAAATTGCAGAATAATTGAGCAATTCAATGATTCATTATTTATTCAATATCTCTAAAACTACTCAAGATAAAAGAAAATGGATTGCATATGTCTTCACAGCAGCTTAAAAGATACATTGCCTGAAAATTTCATTTGAATATGATAATAAACAGAAAATTTTTTTAGAACACCAGAGTCTCCCCTTAAACACAAAAGAATATGTAGTTACATCACTTTTTGCCGGATTTGCCTGCAGCACCACATGTATGAGAGCCGTCACTAAGAACAACCAGCTGCAAATCAGCTTAAAGCTATGCTGCTGCATTCCAACTAAGCCATCATCCATACCCCTAGTACCGTAATTACTCGAATCTAACACGCACCTTTTTTCCGGTTAAGCGAGTTCATAAATCGCATGCGCGTTAGAATCGAGTACGAACAAAAAAAATTAGGGTCAATCTATTGCCATCAGCAAATCCAAAATGGCCGCCCCCTACGTGCGTCGTCATGGCGCGTCGGCCATTTCTGCCTATGTGTTTCCCATGTGCGGCACTTCGTACGTGTGCTGAGGAGTTTGTCATCTAGTAGTGCATTAGCATCGACGGCGTGGAAGGGCAGACTCCAAAAACTCGAGTGCACCACAATGACGCTTTTATAAAAAAGTCATCGCGTGTGCAGAAACGGACAAAAATCGGGCCGCATCGCGGTCGTTTGGAGTTCCCGAAACGTGCGTGCGGGACCGGCGGAAACAAAAGCAGGAGATTGTCGACAGCAAAGCTTCACGCAAAGGCTTCAGTGGACCACAGCAGGGTCGGTTTCCGCAAATTAAAGAGCTGCTCGGCGAGTATGTGCTTGAGCAGCGAGCGGCACAGCGGCCCGTGACGACAGAACTGCTTCAAGTGCGGGCTATGCAATTAGTCTTAGAAAAAGGTCTAATGCGGAGCCAGTTTAAAGCGAGCAGGTTCTGGCTAACTAACTTTATGAAAAGGAAAGGCTTTTCCCTCCAAAGGGGAACCTGCATATGGGAAAAGCTTTGCGGAGGAGTACGATAAAAAGCTTCGCAGTTTTCAGAGGTTCGTCCTAAACTTGCGGCGCAACAACAGCTACCTGCTTGGGCAAATCGGGAATGCCGATCAGACGCCTCTTTATTTCGACATGCCTGGCACCACAACCGTCGAGAAGAAGGGGGCGAAGCAAGTTCGCGTGCTGACATCGGTCCACGGTAAAACTACCGTGACGGCAATGCTCTGTTACACATCAGATGGGCACAAGCTTCGCCCGTACCTCATATTTAAATGGAAGACGCTCCCGAAAGGAGTCGTTTTTTCGAGTGGTGTGATCGTGCGGGCCAGCGAGAAAAATGGGTGCACGTTGCAATCGATGTCTTACGTTTTTTTTTTTTTCGCCGTGGAAATCGAGTGCGCGTTACAATCGAGGGCGCGGTAGAATCGAGTAAATACGGTACTTGAATGCAACATCGCACTTCTGCAGCTATGTCATCACAGATTCATCAGCTGTCAGATTGGTACGCATCTGTGAGTGATCTTTAGAAATACTGACAGGCTTTTTGAGGTTGATCTGCCGGCTCATCTGCTGCTGGCGTTCCACCTTCTTCTTCGTTCGTGCCCTGTACTGCTCCTGCATGAAAAAAGTGACACAAGCATAATGAGTATAAATGCAATCATTAAGCACGGCCAAAGCTACAGTCCATCCAAATCATCAGCCATCCAAGTTAATTAACCCCTTAAATGCCCACTTTTTTTTCCAAAACTTCCGGTCAAAAAGTGCCTATTTTTTTTATTGCAGATTTCAATTCTGGTTATATTAAAAAGTAGCTAGTCGATTTTGAAAAAATATTTTTACCACATACTTAGTCAAACCAATAGAATAAAGTTTATTTCTGAACAATACATAGAAAACGAGCTACCTGCTGCTGATAAGATTAAAAACCTTATAAACAAAACAGTTACAGACGCCACATCTTTCTTCACTTGTGTAGGCAAGCACCCTTGGGGTATTTCACTCTGTAAGCTTCGGGGCTGTGCGGAAAATTTCAAAATGCGGAATAACACAAGACGGCTTCACTGGCGGGCACTTGCAGTGTTTGCGTGCGAGCTTTGTTCATCATTATCAGAGGAGCTACTCATTCACCGTCATTGCTGTCTTAACTTCAGGACACAACATAAATATATGTACTTGAATCATTATCCCTCAAAAAAGATGAGGAAAACAAATAGCTTCTTTTTTGTGTTCACGGATTAGCTATGAATGGGTCGCCGCCACCACCGCATGCCGTTTTTTCAGACAAAAACCGCGCTTCTGCTGCAAGAGAAAACTAAATCCTTGAGAAATACTGCCATTTAGTGGATGACACACGATGCGACCCGTAAATGAGCGCTTCTCCGCCTGAACGCTAGAGGGGAGTACCTGTTCCGCTAGAACGAGTTCTACTCATCCAAAGCAGTTTGACGACAGTTTGAGTAGAACGAGCTCTGCTCGTCCAAAGGAATTAAGGGGTTAATCATAATCCTTTTTGTTAATCTGCATACAGTGATGCGACCGAGGTCTCCTGATTTGGAGCACTTTGGAGCAGCAAAAGTCTTCATTTTGGAGCAATCTGGAGCAGCTAACTTCACATCCTGGAGGAGAATTAAGTTGCATTTACAACCCAGGACATGAATAATTATTTCAGGGCTCTTGTCAAGAACTGAAAATATTTTGATTCATTGCAAATGCCATAGAGTTAATAATCTTAAGGAGCACTCCCTATTTCACGCGATGATGCACAAAGAAAGGCGTCATGCTGTTGAGCGTTCTGAAAAAACTGGTTGAATAAAATTCTAATTCATGAAATAACATACTAAACACCCCTATGTAGTTATCAGCCCATATGGTAAAGAAACGCTGTGATGTACAACTCTAGAGACTCACACAGTTCTAACTGCATTTCCTTAAAGGGCCACTCAGCATGCCCTATACCAAATTTAGTTAGATTGTTGAAATTGTTGGGTGTTCGATGAGGAAAATTTTGCTACAAAAGCTTTTAGAATCGGTTCATTACGAGCCGAGAAAACTGTTTTTTTGAAGCGGTGCAAAACAAGGATGAGAGGAGGCGAGCTCGAAACCCCTGCCGCGCAGCCTTCGCAAGCCAAACATTTTTCCCACCCTCTCCAGTATCCGACCAAGAGGTCACGTGCGCATGACGTGCCGAAACGAACCCAACTACTGAACACACGAACGGCGATTCTTCTTTTATTTACTTTTTTACTAGCGTTGTTTTGAGGTCTACTGCCTGTTTCTGCGGGATGGTTTCGAAACGCTGGCTTAGACGTGGTAGAATAGATGAGCACAATGAGGGCGCGAACGTGCAGGAGTGTTCCAAGGCTGTCGTCTGCTCGGTGCGCTGACCGCGGAATCGCGGGGACACAAACGCCAGCACATTAGCCCGCATCTCATTGCAATTCACGGTGGAAAAAATGAAAAAAAAAAAAAAAAAAAAACGCTCACAGTCTCTTACTGCATGCTATTATTTATCTAGAGATTTATTAATCTTTTCGAGCAACAAATACATAAACTGCGTATGTTGTGTTAAATAATTTTTGCCATGTCACGTGCCACTGTTAGCAACGTCAGAGCATAGTCGTCTACAAAGAGGCCTATCGTCACTGCATTGGCATGTACGTAGGGCCATTCATGCGCACACGTCATGCACTCATTCTCTGGGCGTGCGCCCGCAAAAGGAAGGGGGAGCAGTGTTCATCTCGAAATTTGACCTATTTCCGCGGCACGTAGCGTTGCAAATTTTGGCAGACGTGATCATGAACGCCTCATCTACGCATTGCACTTGTCAGCTCAAAATTGTCAAACCTGGTGAGTGGCCCTTTAGGATGAAATCAACGATAAAGAAAGGTTCATTTTCTTCACAACCGATTATATTGCTGGGTGTAACATGACGTCATTTAGCCAGTCTCAAAGAGCCAATCTCCTCCGACACTCATCTCTCTGTGGTGTAACTACACAATTTGACAAACTCGTTTTCTTTGTGCAGCGATGTTTGATGTGACTAGGGTGGTCTAAATGAACTCCAAAACCCCCTATAGTGTCCTCTAAAAAGCAGTGCACAATGAAAAAAAAAAACAAAAAAGAAAACCTTGCAGGGTACCTTATGCATATGCCTAAGACAACTCGAAGACAAGATCGAAGGAGAGAGCCATTTTGATTTTATTGCGACATCAATTATATGGACATTTTCGACTGGTTTTTGCCATTGCCAGTGGAGTACAGAAATGTTTTCTTTTTTTTTTGGGGGGGGGGGGGGGGAGTAGGGTGCACCTTAGTCTGAAGGGGGAGCCGGGCAGACATATTGCCGCTTGGCACTATAATATGCCATGGCGAAAAAAAATTCGGGGGGGGGGGGGACGGGGACGGGGACGACACATTCTCAATGTGCCACCAGCTGGCTACGCAATGTCGCAATTGATAACATCCTCCGCACATAGTGTTTTACATGCTGTTACAAGCGGGCGAGCACCGGGCGACCAACGCACATGGTGTTTTACATGCTGTTACAAGCGTGCGAGCACCGGGCGACCAACGCGGCTAAAGCTAAGATAAAGAGAGCCGACCTATCTCCTTTGCACAGAGGGTAGATGCGATAACATCACCCTGCCTGCCAGACCTGTCATTGATTGTTACTCAAGCTGAGAGGTCAATGCCACCCCTCTGCAAGGAGCAGGAAGGGACTAGGAATGTGGGGAGGGGGTTATGAACTTTGACTGAACTATGAACTATGCCGAAGCGCACGTACACTACATCGGGCAGAACATCATTAGGATGTAAACAAAGCAAAGAATGTGTTACAGTGCTGTTCGGTGCTAATGTGACAGGGGAGGACAAGCTTCCTTTGCTGGTACTGGGGAAAGCATCAAAGCCCTGGTCGACTAGCCGGCCGAAATAGTCAATTTGCTTAGAGGCCCCGACGAGGAAGATGAGCGGCTATGCTGAAAACAGCCTCGCGAAATACCAACAGTGGCACAAACGGAGGAAGAGCCTCTGTCTGTTGCGAGTGCGCAGGCAGCGACCACGAACTCATAATTTGCCTGAACAAACTGGAGCAGCCACTCCTCACGCCCAGCCGAAGCACCGGACAAAGCGAGCTGACTGATTTTTTGTGCGTGAATGAAGATTTGCTTCACTGATTACCACTTCTGGAAAGTTGTCATGGCTAATTTAGCTGTACTTGCTGAGCTTTTACGGGGCAGTCACTCACATAGAATTTTCTTGCCGTCCCACCACTGACTTCGTTATAACAAGGGTTTACTGTTAGGGGTCACTCTCAATTGGACATTGACTGCATTAGTATTTGTAAATTCGAATAGTTTAAATATTAGAAATTAAAGTGCAAATCGAATAGCAAACACCACTAGAAAAATATTCGAAATTTTGAATATTCGCACACCCCTACTTCTAAATACTAGTTTGATCACCTTGTCCCACAAATAGAACAAATGTAATGAATAAGACAAAGCACTACCTTTTCAACCACACATATCTTTTTGAGCGATGGCATCCTTTGTGGCACTGATGATGTAGTGAAATGCTTGCCAGAGAGATTTACTAAACATAAATGTGCGTACATTTTTCCTTCCCTTCAAACAAACCAGAATTTGACGTTAATCCGCCTTATGTTCCAGAATGGTCATTCAACAGCACAAATCTTCTCATCCTTTCTTTACTCATCGTAACCATTCTTTTCATTACTGACAGGTTTAGCGGATAAACAAGCACCACCTCGCACAAGCTTTTGACAATGTGTGAAAAATGGGGTCCCGACAGCAAATGCTGGTTACTGGTAGTGGAAAGAATAAAGAAGCTGTAAACAGCACCCCAGGAAAAGTGCACACAGCAAAACAAAGTAAGCATACGGGTGTGCCTTGACTACGGATGTTCTTTTGTTAACCGGGCATTTAAAATGTCAATCTTCGCAGTAACCTGTGTTAATGTAACACATTTAACCGAGGAAGCTTGCCATAACTATCCCAGCTGAATTATCGTGCTTACATTCACTTGACCCGATGATCTGCAATGAATTGTGACCAACACAGACAGAGTGGTGACTAACTAAACAGAAAAAAGCTGACAAATCCAAGAGCTAAAGAGACAGAATTGTTGAGACCTGCTTAATGCTAACAATACAGGCCTGATTAAACATTGATTAATGACTTGCTGCACAAATTATTTCCTACCCATATTGCATAAACCAATAGATGTACTTGACTTAGAAAAACATGCAATGCAAAAGCCAGCTTCTAAAAACTTATGCACACTGCATAGCCCTTGAAAGGTTAGAAAACACTGGTTTTAAGCAACACACTTACGGTAACATCAAGTGGCTTCTAGGAACTCTGAAAGTGGCGAAGGAACATGTTAGTGCTCTGCTAGTTACTTCAGACTCTCTAATTGTTTAGAATGTTTCTGCTTCTGCAAGAAACCGTTCACATAACAAAGTGAGGTTGGAATGAAAACAATATGAGCAAACATGAGAAATGGACAGCATATGGTCTATTTTGTTTCTATTTTTAGTAGTGATCAGCACCTACAAAGAGTCTTAATTATTGCATGAACCCTGAATGCTTTTCTCAGGTTTTTTTTGGCCTATCCCGCAAAAGTGCCTCAACGGATGCCAAATCGATGGTTTTCAGCAACTCTTTGATCACTTGAAGCGATGTCACACAGGCACTTCAGATCACGATCACGGCTGATATTAATTCACTTTACTGATTGCAGTAAACGGTGTTCCAAAATGTACCTCATTGAGTTTGACACGAATCGTAATCATCTTGACACTGATTGGACCTTACCGCAATCACAAGTGCCCATGCTGGCGCCGGCAGTGCTTAAGCTCCTAGCTTCTCCCCTTTATGCTTCCCCCTGTTCCCATCACAGTACTTGTGCCATAGTGACAAACAGACACGCAGAAAAAAATGTGCACCTCACAGTCCCCAGCTGTGGTGTTGTGATACAGTGGGCAGCAGTCGATTGTAGCATGTGACGGAAATCTGCCACTTAGATGACCTGGAACAGAAGATAAGAGCAATGCACAAACTTAGTAAAACTGCTTTTAAAATACTCCGCTGCGAGTGCACAATCTAAGAAGAGCCCCTGATCCACACAAAGGGGCAAACACTACCGTGATTTCATTTCATTCAAACAAAACGTGACTGCAGCACAAGTATAAAATCTCACCATTTATCCTATATAAGAACTCTTTCTATTCACTGACTAATAACTTGAATGAAGTGACTTGACATTCTGAAGATGCACAAAGACGACTGAGATGACGGGCATTTACATCTAGAAACTGCACATGGTCCATGAGACAGAATGTTAGGGCTATCAGTTATAGCAGGGGGCTTAAATTACAAACGACATTAACACAGCTGCGATTGGCACACAAATCCTAGAGCCCATATTATGAGCATATATATCTACCAGATGCTCACGAGCAAGAAACATTCAAGATTGAATTCAGTATTATTAGTGTTCATAATACACAGGTCTGACTGTAACACCAATAATTGTAGGTTTTATAGTGAATCTAAATCACAGTGCACATATTTTAGTGTTCTGCTGCAGATGGAAACTTATAGAGTAATAACAGTTTCAGAGTTGAAGGGTGCAAAAACAGTGCCTGTATATTCTCTAGGGCAAATTTTCTCACTCACCCTTGGAGTTGCAGCCTGACACAGTGCAGTGGGGTTCATCTCCTTCCCTTGGAGACTGGCCATTTGCAGCAGGCATCTCTCGAAGGATGCTGCGTGTAGCCCCTCGGCCATTCTTGGCTGGCAGGCGGCCCTTGGCAGCTCGGCGCCTTGGGCTCCCTTCGGTACCGCCAACTGGCGACAGATCAGCAGTGGTGTCCTTGCTGCCAGCTTTGCCTGCAAGAAATGCAAGCCTTCATATGGCTCTTCATACTCGTGCCCCACAATCAATGAAGAAAGCAGCACAGTAGACACTGTAGCAGCACAACAGCCTATCATTAGACAGTTTAGTATAGCGGGCTTAGTGGCATAGTGGGCTTAGTGGAGTAGCAGGACCGAAACGGATATGAGCAGTACGCTAAAAGACTCGTGCCTACACCGCACGCATGCCATTTTTCAGATCTAGATTTTCCGTGTTTGTGTGGTCAATGTAGTGCAAGTAAAACATTGTATTGGTTCTGGATGCCCGCTTCTAACTAAATTAAGCGTTGGTTGGAACGGATCCACCTCTTTTGTAGCTACCAACTATCCAAAATTGCTTCGCTTGTCTTCAGCTAGCTTTGATGACCGAGAATTACGGACAACTGAGCCTAGATTTTAAGATCCCTTCCATTTCCAACGTCCGTAGTCCTAACTAGAAGATCGGTGTAAACAAATATGCAACATGAAAATTCGCACTTTTGGTGTGTGGTTTATACTTATTTACTTTTATTATTACTAAATAAAAGTAATAATATTGCTTCATGTGGGTATACACTCGAAGAATCTCAGTTTTTATCTTTTCACTCTTTTTAGTGCATTCACCATCTGCTAGGTGATGCCACAGTCCCAGCTTGGGTACGTAAACGCTATCCCTCTAAACTATAACGCGCTGTCCGCAACAAATGTTTGCGGCGCGGTAACGCTACAGTCGAAACCCGCAATAACGAAACCCCGCGAGTACGAAATCCCCGCGGCAACGAAATATTTCCAGAAGCCTGGCGAACGTTCATAGAAGCCCATGTATTACATATCTCGCGGCAACGAAATGTTTTTGGACAGCAATCCTGCAATCCAGCAATTTTTCGAATTTTCTACCACGGTACTTCGTGGTGGCGGTGCCGGGAGTCGGCTTCTTGGGCTCATCGGAAAGAGCATTTCTCTGTGTTTAACTTTCCCGCCTCAGCTGGCTCCTGCCTTTAAAAACAAGCGCACAAAGAGCAAATGTTTGAAGGTCGTTTCGAGGCCCTTGATTGGCTGTGGCCGCCATGTTGCCTCAGCTCGCCTCGCCATTGGCCTGATGCTCGCTCCGGGAGATCGTCGTCTGCTGCTTGTGTGTCGCAAGGATATGGCTCTCGAAAATTGCTACTTCGTGACGTGTTCACGGCTTGATGATCACTTAAGATAAAATTACACTTTGGTTAGGAGCAGTAGGCGTATGTGCGATCAGGTTACTACGAGCGCGGTGCGTCATCGTAGTCGTCTTTAGCCCTCACTCCGCCGACAGCGAGACTGCGGGCAGGAACGACGCGCTAGCGCACTCGTGGCGACGTGCTTCGTCGCAAGCAACGAAGCTGTAAGCGGCGGCACGGTCAGATTACTACGAGTGGCCGCACCGGATGCACGATCAGATTACTACGAGCGGGTGCGCGGTCTACGAGCGCGGCGCGTCATCGGAGTCGGCCTTAGCCCTTACTTCGCTGACAGTGAGACTGCGGGCAGGAACGACGCGCTAGCGCATCCGAAACAACCCTAGGGTTGTTTTGGATGCGCAGGACACCCTCCGCTCCTTCGACGCACATGAAGACGACGTAGCAATGAACCACTTTTTCCAGTGCGAAGGCAGAGCTTTGAAGTTGTTGCATGGCAAGGCTCGGCAAAGTAAGTTGACCGACTTCTGGCAATAAATTTTCGTTCTGCTCGTCGTATCACTGTTTTTATGTCTCATACTCGCGGCAACGAAATTCTCGCGAGAACGAAATTTTTCGGTTTCCTTGGCGATTTCGTTATTGCGGGTTTCGACTGTATTCCCTTAACTCCCGCTATCACACTCACGCTAAACTATAACTGTCTATCAAAGAGGTCCTAAAACATTTTTCTAAGTAATCACCGAATGACCTCAGTATTATCCGAATTTATTGCATCAGAAATCCAGAGAGAGAGAATGAACAACTTTGCTGAAAATGCGTGCAGAATTTACCAGCCTTCCATCACACACAAAGGATAAGAGTTTATCGCGACACGGCCATTACATCAGTCTCGTGGGTTGAGCTCCTCAAAGTCTTGTTCCCTTGCTACTACCGCAGGTCGATAGCTGCAAAAATTTCTTGAATTCGTCAAGAACGAGTGAAGTTATGGGGGAACCCATCACACATTTTAATCGCTGTCCCTTTTTTGTCGTCCCGATGAGCTCGCCAAAAGCTACACATGGAGGGATGGTAGGAGGGAAAAAAGGTTACGTCAGCGCGCATCACGTGTTTGAGCTTGCATAAAGAAACGCGATCACTCTTCCAGTGTGATTTTTGTGAGCGAGTATGGCTATTGTGTGACGTTAGCACACTATGAGGTGTGGTGCTGGCATGCAACGACAATAAACGCATATGATCGATACACCACTCTTGATTTATGACAACTATTGACCTATAGTCGCAGTGATCTGCTGTAAGACGCCATACAGCAGCTGCCAGCAGCTTCAAAGAGAGAGAGGACAAGCTTCTGTATGAGAGAGGACAACGCACGACTACATGATTTGGCTGAGCTATTCATAGCAGTGTTTTTTTTATTAAGCCCGAGGTATTGTTCATGAGCGCTCTAATTTGAGATACAGGTCACTCTTGGGCTGCATTGACTTTGTAGTTAGGGTGGTCCCCCGATACAGCCATTCACAGCTGTTCAAAAGAAATTGTGCAGGTTGTAAAGCTACCATTTATGATCAGTTGCTCACAGCTGGCTGATTTTTCATTTTTGTGTCGGGAGTCACAAAGCTGCTAACCAATCGAGCATGCAAACGGGACAGCGAAGCATTCTGTTGGTCTATCGCAAAAACCATTTTTGCCATTTGACATGTGGGGGTTGCGCGAGAAGTTTAGAAAAGCATTGATGGCCCATTTTGATGTGGCAACCCGCAAGCTGCATTTGTCGAAGTAAATGTCAGCCATTGCGAGTCATTTCGTGATTAAAAGCCATTGTAGGTCACACCAGGTCCATCAATCACTGGTGTGAATGTGGCATCACATTGAATGGGCACTTAGTAAATAAGAGAGGAAACAAAAATTTTCACGCAAGCTTTTCACAATGTGACATCACGAAATCTAACAGCGACTGAAAAATATCATCGTGAGGGTCTATATTGTATGGCAATAAAAGGCCTTACCCTTCGGTCGGCCACGTTTTGGTGGTGTCACATCAGCCTCACTGCTTGCATCGGGTGCCTTTGTGCCGAGGCTGCGTGGACTAGAGGTTTTCTGCGGTGTGCACGGGGCCACTACATCTTGGTGCATTGGTTCATTCTGGCACTGGTTCTGCTGCAAAAGAAGGCATACCAATATCTTCAGTTATGCTACACGTTAGCGATCGTATTTACTTTGGTTTTAAACAGGCTCTCAACATACTGATGTTGGCAAAAGCTTCCCAATGTGACATCGTGGTAAAAGACCAGAAAAATAAGCATTCACGTTACATGAACTCTATTCATCATCATCATGATTCTGACTGTCCACTGCAGGGCACAGTGTCATGTTTTGCCAGTCAACATAGATTATACTCTCAAATTTCTTGATCTCATCTGCCCACCTAACGTCCTGCCTCCCTTCTCACGCACCTGCCTTCTCTTGGAATGTCATCAGTTACACTTAATTACCAACGATTATCTTGCTCTAATGCTACATGCCCGGCCCATGCCTATTTCTTCTTTGTTTTGACTAAGATGTCTCTCACACAATGTCGTTACTTCAGTGCCACTTTGTTGGCATTGAAAGTGTCGTTTGAGTCGTAGGCTGCCACGTGGTCCTTAAGCTGCATGTCTTGCCAGTATTTCACAACTTCTTCGCCTACCTGACCCCTCTCTCCACACACAATCTTGAACACGAGGCTATGCCGTTCTTTCAAACACGCAAGCCAACCCTCCGATGCCTCATTCAGTGTTCATTCATAGAGCGTATCTCTCTGCTTGCATGCATATAAGTGGTCCACTCAACGGCAGCTTCGACTCGCGTGCAGTAACAATCCACTGCAACAGCGCTTCCTCTAGTTGTGGGTGGAGTGCGATGCGTAATCATCTTCGTCGGTGAAAATTTCTCACCCTCAAACGCTTTCATTATTCAAGCCTTGTTTTTCGCATACTTCGATAATGTGTTTCTTTTTACGTCGAACTGACACATCACCTCTTCTCCGAAGTACTGTTTTTGAGTGCCTTTAGTATCTTCTCTTTAGTTGCCAATTTATACCCGCGTGCTTCGCGGGTTTCGCCGGTTCCAACATCGGGACAGGGTGATATATGACACCATGACTATGGCCCGACAACCACCTCGCGCACTGACACTTCCGATACACCGATATGTCACAGTGCACCGAAGAGGAAAAAAAAAAGCACGACCCCGGTCCGCATGCTATCCGTCTGAGGCCTTGTTTCTCTGTTATCCATTATGCGCCGATGATAAGACGATGCGTGCTCCAAGACGCCACCTTTCGTTCTCTTTCATCAGTTCTCGAAAAAAAAAAAATGCAGTTTTCCTTGGCCTCCGCAATTAGCATACACAGCTGTTGAAGCCCATCTCGGAGACCATAAGTTTGCACATGTGTGGCAAAGAAAATGCAATGCGATAAATGCTGTGACTTCTAAGATGCAGTTTCAGTTTCTGACTTTCTGAATGGGAGGCAAGCCAGAGACGCCTTGCCTCCCATTCAAATTAACCAGTGCGCGTGCAATTTTTCATCGAATCAGCAAATGTTTGTTGCTATAAGACTATGAACATTTATGAAGGGAGGGTGTGGGAATGACGAATCATCCAAATTAACAAGCTCCAAATTAACAAGATTCTGCTATTTTCTATCAAGGGTCTTTGAAAGCTCAACTACCAGAACAATAGAAAATCTGCCATGATTCTAGCAGAATACTACATAATGAAGCTTTTAAGCTCCTTGCTGGTTTTAAATACTCTGCCACCAATATACAGCTTGTACACTAACACACACACACACACATGAACACACAAAAGAAAAAGTTACACTAATTACATTTTGGTGATTGCCACGATGTGCGTGCCTTGTCATCCTCGGCCGTTTAGGCGTGGACGACGATAAGTTGCTAACATCATTCTTTTCTTCCTCCGAAGCATCAGCCGGAGCACCATTGACTGCTGATGCCTCAGTGGTGGCTTCACTGCAGCGCCCGCAATTTTCTGGAACCCAAGCAAACAATGCCATGCACGGTAATCATTTGCCCCTTTGCTTTGTTCAGTGCACATAAAGGAAGAGTAAACAAACAAATGGAGAATGATGCATCATCTACCAGACAAACTAAATAAAGTGCTTGATTTTAAAGAAAGACTGTCACAGCAACTCATCCTTCCTGTATATATAGTAGAAAGCCTGTTGGTACATTCTCAGCAGCTCCAAACTTCTGCTAAAGTCAAAGGCCACAGATGCATCAATGCTACACAAATGCCAGAAGACTCTAACACTTTTCAACAAATTCACACTAGGAGCCTGTGGTAGTTCAGTGCCTCTAACTGTTTCTTACCTGCAAGCAAGATAAATCTGAAAGATGATAAGATAGCTTTTTGCAAGGCTGCTTTCAAGTGCCTGTTTCAAAGCTCCAATAAAAAATAACATTACCTGCTTGCAAATGCACGTTTGCAAGCGACTGTATAAAGACAGAGTGATTTCGCCGCCATGCAGCATCCATGAGAAGGGCTCACTATAGGACAGTGTGTGATGTAAAAGCAGTGCACACCCCAAAAAGAGCAGTTTGAATTTACTGAGGTGGTCTGGTGGTTACTAAGCTTTACTCCTGACCTGAAGGTTGCAGGACTCACATGGCCAAAATTCAGTTTTGGCAGCACACATCTACATCTCAGTTTGTAGCCGCTAACGACGTTAACTCCTCATTGATTCCTGTTGATTCTGGTGTCCCGCAAGGGTCTGTGCTTGGTCCCTTACTATTCCTAATCTATATTAATGATTTGCCTACTAATGTCTCTTCGAAAATATGCCTGTTTGCAGATGACTGCGTCTTGTATAGAAAGGTGACGGATGCCGCAGACATTTCACTAATTCAGGAAGATCTTAATAACATAACTAAATGGTGTCAATTATGGCGTATGGAATTAAACGTTAGAAAATGCAAAAGTATGAGGATTTCCAGTGCTGAAGTGACTTCCCCTACTTACACACTTAATAACATCCCACTAGAATGCGTAACATCGTACAAATACTTGGGTGTCCATATTACCAATAACCTTTCATGGAAAACTCATATTGATTACATAGCCACCAAGGCCACTAGCACATTAGGATATTTTCGCCGGAAGTTTCCTCAAGCGCCATCTTCATTAAAACTACTACTGTACACAACTTTCATTCGTCCGAAGCTTGAGTATGCATCGTCAGTATGGGACACCGGATATCAGAACCACATAAAATTACTAGAAAAAATACAAAATCGCTCAGTCCGCTTCATTTTAAACAATTACCAAAGAACTGCGAGTGTTACTAACATGAAAGACATTCTACACCTTCCATTGCTATCACATCGCCGAAAACTATCTCGACTCTATCTTTTCCATAAAATCTACTACCACAATTCATATTTACATTCTATGCTTCTTCAGCCACCGCCGTACATTTCATCCCGCATCGACCATCGCCAAAAGGTAAACATTCCACACAGCAACACCGTCGGCTTTTCACACTCATTTCTCCCCACAACGACCAGAGACTGGAACAATCTGCCTGCATCACTCACAAGCATAACTAACACCAATAATTTCAAAATCGCACTTCAAAGTTTCATTTCGAGTTAACATCGTTCAGTGTTTGTTTTCATACCTTTTTTTTTTTTTTTTTTTTTTTCTCGTATTCTAGTTTTGCGAGTGGCTACTTTTTGTACATTATTTTTTTTTTCATTATATCTCTTTTGGCAGTGCATCCAATGATAAAATCTTGTAATTCTTCCAGGACAGTCCAGTGTTTTGATTGCTGTGTTATTCATTTTGGTTCATTGGCCTTTGTTCTTGTAACTGATATTTGTTTAAAGCGTCATCGTGATAATTCATTTCTGTATTTTTAAAACTATAACCAAGTTTTTATTTAAGTTATTATTACGTGTTAACTTTCTTCTTTGCCCCTCCCCTCTTCAATGTACGTTTGTACCCTGAGGGTATTTGAAATAATAAAAAAAAATAATAAAAAAAAAAATCTACGCTAGTAACGAACAGTACAAATAATGTCACAATGTTTGAGAGTGACACCTGGGCAGATACCTGTCAAGTTGCTTTGACCCCTCAATGCTCTGTGAACCACTTTTGGAACACACTAAAATGTCTGTCCTCCAACCGCATGATCCATTCAACCTAGTTCAACGTTGAGGCTCCTGACTCACCTAAACAGGACTTTGTGAGCGCTTGAGCAGGGAGGCAGTTCGGGTGGAAGCACCGATCACAGTTTTTGCACAGCACGAGAAGGGCCTGGAAAAAGAAGAAGCAGAAAAGGCTCAAATTTTGTCAGACATCATGCCAAATAGGTTATAGTATGACAGTATTGATGCAGCATTAGTGCGCTGTAGGTGAAAATTAAAAACTCTTTAAAAACACATCAGGGATAAAAGTGTTTGTACTTCCTTAACTCATTGTAGCTGTGTCGCATGGCATACAACTTGGAGTAGTACACAAAGCATACATTCATTGTTAAGTGTGCACACTAAAAGACAATAGTTGATTAGACAAAAACAGTCATTAATACAGTCTACGCTCATTATAACAGATTCGCATACAAAAGAGATTTGCATACAATGAACTATTATTCAGCCTAAGTTTTGTCTGTGTATTAAATTAATGGAGTGAAGTTCGCTTTTAGAGAACTGCAGTACAATGAATTATTGGCTATAGTTGATGAAATTAGCAGCATTTTTCTCTAAATTAGAAACAAAGTGTACTTTTCATGTGTTGATGCAGGATGATAAGTCTTGACCACACTGCTCTCTGCGCGCCAAGAAAGCCATGTAATTTTGCATTGCAGCATTGCTAGCTTCTGGCCAAGCCAAGCCTTCAGCAAAGCCAGTCATGAAGCACGTTAGTCACACCTATGGTTCAAGCCGTTTAAGTGTGGCAAATGACTGAAATGCGGCAACATGTGATTGCATCATCGCTCAGGTGAGCTCGCCAATCTCTTATAGCAACTTTCTTTTTCAGCTAACTGTAAATAAACATTTTTTGTGTCTTCCATTAGACGTTCGTCACTCATTACAGTAACATTGTAAGGCACCGTCCCCAAAGACATTCTGGTATTCCAAGCAGGTGAGCCCCACTGTAAAATCAGAATAATAATGTGAGAAGTGCCCTAGTGCTGCTCAGTTCAGAACTTTCAGACCAACTTTGAACTGTCCATCCAACAAGCTGTGGGGGTTGCGCGCGGGCAACAGCTTCCGGAAGCCAATAGGTGGCCCCAATTAAGCGTATAAGCCTTTCCGTCCACACAAAAAATTCATTCTAAGCTGATCAACAGAAATGTCCAAAAAAGCCTGTAGAAACGCTTTATTATCGGGCTACGCGTTGCTGCTGTGAAGGGGCAACATAGCATCCCTGCACCTACCATAACCGCACTTGCTCATCGATTAGAATTAGCGCTGCAATTTTATTAATAACTGCTGCTGGTAATTGGAGTTTTTTGTAATCATGCTGTCAAATTCATCTAGCATGTACCAGGGGAACTAGCCTGCCCAATGCTGCTGAACCAAATCAAAAGGATTATCATCCCGCGGCGCGCACTCTCTCCCCCCCCCCCTCTTGAACAAAGTTACAGACATTGGATAATATTACAGACATTGGATAATGCGGGCTCGTTTTGCCGGATTATGATGGCCCTTTCTAACAAGAGTAGACAGTAGTACCTGGCAGGAGCTCCTTAACTGTTACAAATGTACTAATAGACAGGGCAGGTTCTGTTAGTCTATGTATTGATTTTCCGCATTGGGAGACACTATTGGTCGAGTTGAATGTGGTGAATAGTCAAGTGTGCAGCACAGCACAAACACAGGCACAAGAACACATTCTTCCACACCATTCAGTTTGGTTCCACTCACACTCTGCGATTCTGGCTGGTGGCACGTCTCGCATACTCGACACCGGTGGCACTTCCAGTCATAGGTGGTGACCACCTTGGCTGCTTCCTCGGAGAGGCCCAGGCAGAAAGGGTGAGCTGAAATGCAAAATGACAGACTTCGTGACTACATGGCCTGATTTGTAAGCAGCACACATTACAGCTTCTTTTCTCCACGACATGAGCAACACATTTCATTAGGTAATAGAAACAACTCGGTGCATGACTTCAAACGTTTGTGCTAAAGGTGCAAACATTTCTAAGGGAAAATTACTCAAACATTTCTACCACATAACAATAGCATGCACAGCACTCACAAAATAAGACACAACAGAAAATCTTTTCATGCAGAACACTGAATACGTGAAATTAGTCATGAGTGTGATCACACTACACTGCACCTCAAGTTCATGTGGGTACATAGGAAACCCACTCTTTAAGCACAAGAGCTCAAGACGGTGGTTTTCTTTAGCAGGAGTAGTGTTATGTGCTGCGCATAACAATGTTATGCTTTGAAACTTGCTCTAACTTGCTTGGTTGTCTGCTATGCTGCTTCAAAATGTATCAGTTGGTGTAGCAATATGACAGACTGAAGTAAGAGCCAAGGTCTCACAAGAAATGAAATTGAAACTAGCCAATAAAAAAAGCTATTAGGGTGCTCTAAGGCTTGGCAGTCTCTCGTAACAACTTTTGATACAGTGCTACAATTCCACAATAAAAAATGAATGATTAATGAAAAGTTAAGTGCACTTAAGACACCACTGAATTTGTATGATAACATTGGAATTAGCACATCAACCATGTAAGCCCATAGAGCAAATCCTTCTTTTCAAGCATTTAGCAATACCAATGTTGTTTGTCAAAAACACAGTCATTCTCGGCGAGAGAGTAATCTCTGGAGCTGTACAGCCGAAAACCACAATGCGAACATGAGAGGCTCCGTAGTGAAAAGGTCCAGAAATTTCTACTATCTGATGTCTTTTAAAGAGGGAGACGTGGCAATTTAAATTACTTTTGTTATTATGGAAATAAAGTGATGAAATTCGGTGTGCAGATGTAATTTCTTGCACTGATATCATAACCAAATTCAGTTTTGAGCAATCTAATATACAGTAGAGCACGCTTATAATGAACCTGAGCATGACGCGGCATCCGTTCGCTGTATCCCGAAGTTCGTAGTAAATGAAACACAGCTTTTAAAAAAAAGTTGTGCGTGAAAACACAAACTTTTTATGCCCTCAAAAGTCCGTGATGCACGTGTTTCGAATAGCAGAAGCGATAAGAACGGTCTCGCGTTCATTTAAAATGGCAGAGCGCTTGTTCGCCAAGGCCTCTGGCATAAGCTGCATGAGGCACTGACTCCAAAGTTTCATCGTTCTCGCAATCCGATTCCTCCGAATCGCTCTCGCCACGTATTTCATTCACAATGCCCTAATCCGTGCACGGTTCCGCAGTGTCGGCATCATCATCGGCCATAATTGAACCATCACAACAGATGTCCCACCCGCTCTCCCAGGTCGGAGTCGACGACGCGCTGCCACAAATCGCCGCCGCAGTGGTCCTGTTCGGAAGCTTCAGGCTCGGCATCGGCTCGACGAAGTCGGCCTTGCGAAAACAGTTTCGCGGGCATGTAGCCATCACCGCCGCCCACGAAATATTTACCATCTCCACAGACGCCCGAAGCTGCAAGTTGGCTGCCAGGTGGTCAACAGCTATGAGCAAGTGCTCCGCAACGCGGAACCTAACGCGCGGATTACGCTCAAGCCAAGTGGTCACACTTTCAACGTTTTGTTGAGCGGCAGGAAAAAACGTGCTAGTCCTCCCGTCGCCATCAGGCCATCATGACCACACACGCACACCAAGAGCGAGCAAGAAGCGCACACGTGACACACAAACCAGAACGCGTGGAACATCTCTGGGCGCGTTTCCAGTCAGAAAAAAATTGGCAGCATATCCACGGAGTGAATGATGGAGAGTGGGGTGAAGCATTCGTCCGTCCATTCGTTCTTGCTTCTGCCCGTCCATGCGTCCGTCTGTGTGACCGTCCATGCGTAAATCCGCCTGTCCGTGCATGCATCTGTTCGTGCGTCCATGCCTGCGTTCGCCCATGCATCTGCCCCTGCGTCTGTTAATGCGTCCATCCGTGCATCTGTCTGGGTGTCCGTTCGTCCATCTATTCAACACTCCGAATACCACCATCTCGCATCTTTTCACCATATATTCCCCATATTTCAAGGACGAAACGAGAGGTGGTACACGCACACTTTCTTACGGCTAGCGCTTCGAATCTACTTCCCACCTTTAACCACGTTGAGTTCATAGTATATACTAGTTCACTGTGTTCATAGCACTGCGGCTCAACGCTCGCAAAACCTTTCTAAAACCAAGGAGTTTACGCCCACGGAGTATAACGTGGCAACCTTTTCCTGTCAGTGCTCAATGTACATGCCAATGGCTGCTAATGGGAAATGAGAGACAGGAGAATTCGGCTTTTACTTTCTTACGGCTTGCGCTTCGTATCTACTTCCCACCTTTAACCACCTTGACTTCATTCATGGTATATACTAGTTCATTGTATTCATAGCACTGCGGCTCAACGCTCGCTAAACCTGTCTAAAACTAAGAAGGTTACACCTAGCGAGTATAATGTAGCAACCCTTTTTTTGTCAGATAGTGCTCAATGTACATGCCAATGGCTGCTAATAGGGATCACAGCATGCGCGTTATCTAAAAGCCGAATGCTCCTGTCTCTCATTCCCCATTAGCAGCCATTGGCACGTACATTGAGCACTATTTTTTATTGTTCAACAAAGCACAGAAGAAATGTCTCACCGGCACCACCTTGGAGGCCAAAATGTTATACTTCTTACATACTACAACGGCTACGAGTGACAAACAGGTGCCGCTATAGGGAGCTTCGCCCCTAAACTGAAACTAATTCGAGCCAGCGTTGCGGGCGTCGCGAGGAGGTGGAGACAGGCGAAGGGGTTGTGATCAAGAGAGGAGAGTAGACTTGCTAGAGAAGGGCAAAGAGTTGCGATAAAGAGAGGAGAGGATGCGCCGGGTGGCAACCTTGAAAACCAAAGCACACAGGAAGGAGGCAGGTTGGGTAGCTTGCTTGAAAGGCCCGAGAAACTCTCACGTAGAAAAACTTGAAACGAGTGCATGACCGCCTGAATCGGTGCACGTGGCGGTGTTCGAAGAATCGGCAGTCGTGGTCAAAAATCGTTTTGTTGCACCGGCGAGTTTGCGTGGCCTCACAAACTTCGACATTTCGCGATTCGTTCCGCGCAAATTAACAGCCGTTTTCGCGCTTCCACACGCGCCCGGAAGGCATGCTGAGTTGAGTGCGAAGTGAGCGAGAACAAGTCCTTAACACGAAACGAATCACAAATTATCACATTCGGTGGGGTAGCGCACGAGCGCGCACTAGACGCAGGCTATCGGATACAGTCAGTGGCCAACGATGTTGGCAAATGGTCTGGTCACTCCAGGCCAGTGACGTCGACAGTACCAGCGATCAAAAACGGGGTAGACGGCCGACCGGTCTTCGAAAGATCGGTGTGTGAAAACACGGGCCTCATCTGGCGATGCGGAATGCTCAGAGTAGAGGGGGGGGGACAAAGGACGTAGGGGTGCGTAACAAAAGCGGTCGGAGAGAGCGGCAACTAGAGGGGCACGGAGACAGGGTCGGCGTTTAACAATACGAATGTATGGGCACCTCGCCGATGCCTGATCAATGGTCGAAACTGGTTTCCCAGGAAGTCAGCAGACCGCTGACTGCGTTCGCTGTAACTGATCAGCGGTGCTCAGAGATGTTCGTTGTAAGTGCGATGTTATGCCATTGAACCAATGTATATTTTCACGGTCACGCGGATGTTGTTCGTTTTAAGTGGGGCCATTATAGTATGTGGGCTCGGCTGTAGTTTTTGAGTGACAACACTTGATAGACTCTCATTTTCATCCCAAAAGTAATTAATTATTTGACAGAAGTTCATCAAAATTTTTGCATAAGAATATTCACAAGGGCCCATTTTGTGCCGTAATGCTATTGGCTTACTTATTATTCAAGTAAGCACACAAAAAAAATTTGAAATGTCCTGGTCATATTGTCTTACTAACAACTTTTACGGAAGGCCAATAACAAAAATCTGTATGATGTGTACACAAATATGGACACCTGTATGGCACTCATCAATGTCTTAGGATATAAGTACAGAAAACAGAGTGATTATATCTTCATTAGTTATAAAATCGCACAAGGATGACTAGACAATGGCTCAAAAAATGAACGCTGAGAAAACGGAGCTTAAAGAAATTGGAGCTAAAGGCTATGAAAACAGAACTCGGAAGTGTGCTGGCTTTATTTTTCATTATAGAAACGCAACTTTGTGGCTATCTTGAGCTGCGATCTATCTGTCCTGTCTACAATGATGCCAATACGGTGGCACTATGCCAAGGGAAAGCTGGAGATTCGCATTAACAAAGCCCACTTTTCTCACATATTTTGATGGCAGCCCACCAATAAAATGCTTTTTCTCAACTTATACTACTTTGTTTGGTCTAATATTGCACCATTGATGTAAAACATGGTCTCAAGATTGCAGAAAAAAATCATTTAGAAACTGAACATTTTGACCACATTTACCATTTCCATTGCCATGTCTCCCGACTCGTGCACTGTCCGAGAACGCACAGTACACGAGCCTTGACCATTTTACCTCTACAAAAATGTGATCACAGCGTGCGGGACTGAAACAAAGACTAGCGGGTTAGCAGCCAAGCGCCGTAGCCACTGACCTGATGCAGCGGTTATGATTTCATGCAGCACAGTCCTAGTATTACTGAATAGTAGCTGCATCAAGGGTTGCTCATGAAAGTGGAAATTCGCTCATGGACAAAGCTAAAAGTCATGAAAAACACTGTGCATGTTTGGCAAGCCATGACATTTAAAGTGTTAGTAATAAGATGCTGCAGAATTTGTTTCCAGAAAAGGCTGTCGACCGAATAAGAAAAAAAAATTCTTTTTGTCGTATATCAACAGAGCAGAAAGCTGCAGACCAACCACCACAAAAATTGTGAACATAAAATGCGTCTTCCTACCCCTCAGGCACGTCCACAAAACATTTTATATTGACAGCTGTTATTTTTTGAGATCACACACTCACCAGTGATGGAATCAACCATGTGACTCCATGGCGGAACTGGCAAAAAAAAAAAAAAAAAGCTAGCTGATTCCAGCTGGAATTTCATTCCGTGCATACAAAGGATCAGCTCACTGCTACCACCACCACCCTGCTGTTGTAATTCTCATGATCGAGTCACTGCATTGGGTGTTGCTCGAGCCATTTGCAGAAAAAGTACAAAAAAAAACCCTTGTCTAATGTTTCTTGCCACCCGACTGAGACGAATTGATTGGCATGAACATGGCAGGTGGAGGACAGGTGGCCCCACTTACCGCACGTCTCGCATTGAGAGCAGGATATAAGCTGCGCGGGCGGGCTGCGACGGCTCTCGAGCAGTGCCTGGGAGCATACGCTGCACAGGGGCTCCGAGGACAGGCGCGACCGCACCTGTCGCAGCCGCTTGTTCGGTACTTCCCCTGCTTCCAGTGGAAGAAAGCAGGACAGGAGACAAACGGAAAAGTTAAAGTCACTTCTGTGAATTCCTTTTATCTCCAGCTCTAAAAAAACTCTTATGCACTTGCATTTATGGCGAGCACCTTGTACTTTTTTTTTAATGTAATGAGTACCGTAAAGAACTGTAGAAGGCTGTGAGAGCTTTGGGTAAAGAACTTTGAGTACTGGGCTGTAGAAACGACTTAGGTGTAGCAATCTGATACTAGTAGGCCTTTGTATAGTTTACTCCTGTTAAGAAAAACCTGAAGGGACCAGAAAAATGTGTTTCGTTCAACAAGAGCTTAATTTACTGAGAGACAAACAAGGGTAGCGAATTCAAGCACAAAACCAATCATACAAGAGCCAGTTGTTCCATTTAAGCAGCACTTTTGCGTATAAGAGCTCTATTTGCTGAGATTCTACTGTGCTGAGCCTCACTTAAATATCAGTTACTGGAGAACTTCTGACATCAAGATTCCTCAAATCAATCAATGAGAACATGTAAAGAGGGGTGCTGATATGGCAACAACAAGAAGGCTCGCAAGCAAGAACAACATTGCTTTCATTTAGCCACTGGCGATGACTGGGCAACAATCCAATGCTTCAGTATGAACACGTATGAAATTAGCCTAACTTAGAAAATACAATATGGAGAAAGTTTTACGCTGCGATGCCATGATGATATTCCATGTCAAAACAGCCAAGTTTTACACTGTTTCCTGTTCGTAAGGCTCTCACATGCTGTGATGTCCTCAGCACATGTGTTCCTCAAGTTCTCACTTGAGAACTTTACTATAACTAACCAAGCATTCTGGAAAATGCCTGTAGGCAACCTTGGTGCACCAGTAAATAATTATCGCTTCATTTTTTTTTTTTTTTTTTTGTCAAAACAGTCCTGTTCCTGACATACCTGCAAAGTGCACATTGCATGGTCTTGTGTGTGCTCGTATTTTCCGCCAGCTTTACTGACCCTTGAGTAAGCGGCAGTTGATATTAATAATTATTTTATAGAGCTTGAGATTTATTCAATACGCTACTGTTTCAAAATTAATCAGTGAGAAATCAATACAGTACTAAACCTTTCCTTTTTCTATGGTTCCAACCAAAAAGTAAATGCCACTGGTAGCATAGGAGTGTTTTTATCTATGCCAAAGAAATAGCTCAACTCCACAGAAATAAAAATTTGGTACAATATGGTGATTACAAACAAGACTTTATAAGTTATTTCACTTTCAACTGAGAAAGCTTGATATGGTCCAAGAAGGTTAGGGTACTTAGCTGTCTCTTAGGTAAATGTTGAGAACAGCACAATTAAGAAAAGCTCAAGGAGAAGAGATAACTGATTGTTTTAGGCTGATTATAGTCGATTAAATATTTTGCCCCACACTGTTTGCTCCGATAACCTAAACTGACACTATCAGTGCCATATTTTCTACAACCTTATCCTTGTTGCCGTGCTGTTGTGGCCACAACTGTTACGGTTTGCCTTTAGTGATCGTGGTGATCGCTGACGATCACTGAGGTTCAATGCCGTCAAAAGCAAACAGTAAAAGAACAGGAAGTGCTCAAAAAAATGTTCTTTACCTTCAGAAGGCTCCTTGGTAGGGGTACGCGGAGGTGTTACCGACTTTCCGAGCACTGCACCATTACTATTGGCAACAGCGCTGCCAGTCAGAATAGCAGGGACAGGGGTATCAGTCTTGACGATGGGGACAGTGGTGCTCGTGACGGAAGACTTGCGCGACTGGCCCCGCGTCACAACGTGGGGTGGCTCCATCTCGCTCTCATCTGAGCGAGACTCCTCCGAGCTCGTGCTCCTGAGCTGTCGCTAAAGAAAATCGCAAGGTCAGCAACAGCGCACACAGAAATGTACGTACACCTTTTCAAATCTTTAACATCACTGAACGTTGACCTCTGGTCATGGTAGCCCGTAGTATTGACACGATGTATGGATATTTGCCACAAGATTCGCAAACACAGAAAGCACACAATCCTGTTACACTGTTTGTTTAGAGATGCGCACAAGCTTTAAGTCATACTGGCAAGATCACACGAGAAGAAAGCTGGTGTGCATCGAGCGCCCTACGCTGATCCAGTTGCTTCTCTCTGATGTTGGAAACTACTCTATCCAGCAGTTGACGCGTAACATTATTAGGTGTGTACACTTATGATCAAAGGCATATAGGAACAGAGTTTCCATAAGACAAACAAATAAATAATGATAATAAACCATTAAATGATATTTCCTTGATTCTTTGCACAGTAATCTGAAGTTACATGCTGCAGTTCGGGCTTGCCCTTGCAAATGTTGCAGTTCAATTGACTGCATCGGTCTGTCACTGTGAGTACGCAAAGAGTTCTTATATTGCATATCTGCTCTTCCACGTACTATCGCACTCAGTAGGAGCTACACTGTGAGAGTGCTCCGGCAAGCACATTGTAAGGTTGTACATTGATGCCAATCGTGACGTGTTTTCGAGCTATCAGAGGGATGGTTTGGCTGTTCTTGAGTGGGCATCGCCTCCACTTGCTTTCCACGCACCGTTGTCGTGATATCAGCTTCAAAAGCGAGTTTAGGTTGACATCCAAACTTCGAATGTTTTTTATATAAGGCATTGCAAGCAAAAAGTTCCTTCAAGTAGGGGGGGGGGGGGGTGCTTAAAAGCAAGCAGGCGAAGGATTTATGTTTGCAGGAACAGGCGCTGACTATCCCCCGATACCTCAAAAATATGCCCCGGTCGGCGCCACTATACAACCTTGAAGTGTACTCGTCCATACGATTGTGAGTTGTAGCCCATTCTGAGCGCGATAGTTCTTCGATCACGGGTACTAGAGAGGGCACATACAGTAGCAGTGGTTTATACAACATCGGCAAGAACAAGTACTCATAAAGAGCAACACGAAACAAGCATAAAAGTTGGTTAGTAAAGCGAGCTGGTTGGTTCCGTTTCGCTATACAAAAAATATCGGCATAAAACACGGGCCAGCAGCGAACATGATAGTGAAGTGAAAACCGAAGTATTCATTCCTTATTTAGCGCATGCGAGCATAGTATACTTGCCCTTCTCTTTGGCATGGTGTGTTTTGTTGCAGCTGTGCGTCTTTCTAGCTACATGAGAGATCTGCAAAATATATAAGGCGATCATATTGCAAATGGATGTCTAAAAGGTACACAGAGTGAAGAGGACTATGTAAATATACGAAACCAACAACATCGTGTACGTTACATACGCGAACATGTGTTCGAACATTGTTTGAGCGGTTGATAGATGAATGCGTATCGCAGCATATTTTTGCACTTGGGCCGCTTAAACGGCTTCTCCAGCGAGCCCGAACGCTTGCCGTTTAGCGCCAGCGATGTAGGGCGCTAGAGAATTGAAAGTAGACGGTATTTTGCGCGAGGGTACATGCCATTTTATCGCGCCGTCCGGCGCTTTGCACTAGTCTAACGCAGCGGGAAACAAGTTGAACGCTGCTCTCGGCGTGACTGGGCGTGACGGAGTGGTTGTTTACAAACGGCCCAAGTTGGTTTTCGCCCGTTATATCCCGAGTTCTTATGACGGTACTCGAACAAGTTTGGTCGCGTTTACAACGGACAAGCGCTAGTTTTACAAATGGCTAAAATAGAGGCGTTACTCACCTGGGGAGATCGGAGCGTATCAGTGCGACCCGAAACGCGCGATCGGCGCGCACGGATAGTAAACAAACATACTCGAGCAACGAATCGCTGCTAGTCGGCCTCATCTCAGAGGAATTCCAAGACAATAAGCGGTAAAATCACTAATTTTAAGCACGTTGACTACATACGGAGCTTCCTGGCTCGGCAAAACCACTGCCACGGAGACCCATTTTTTTTCGGCGCTCGTCGAACGCTCCCGAAGAGCGATCGTAAATAACGGATCAACGAAGTATCGCGTTGAGATCGTCATCATAGATAACGCGTACTTACCGTGAAGTTATCCAAGTGTCACCTACTCGTCCCAAGGGTTAAAACGCTACAATATTAGGCCGGTTTGAACGCTTTAACGCATCACCAACGTTCATCGCTCCTGGGTGAAGCTCAGATAGGCTTAGGTCGTCCGTCCGGCGCAGCAGCGGAGGAGGTAAAATGACAACTTAAACGTATCAAAACTCTTAGTAAAGTCTCAATGTTCAAACTAATTTCTTCTAAAAGGCTTAAATGAGAGATATAGTGCACAATTTCTTGTTAAAACATCATTCCGTTCAGTTTATCGCAATAATGCAAGTGGCGACCCCTGCTGTGCACTTGAACTCGAAAACAAAACCGAAATTCTTTACAGAATAATTGTTAGCAGCTCACGGCAAACACGCTTTACTGTTTTGTCAAACTGAATAAGAAAAATACTACACCCTAAAATCTTTTATACATCAACATAAAATTACAAACTGAATCATGAAATTATTTCTAATCAAGCATGTAGAGTCTAGTAGAGCTCGCAGAGAGTGTTTTCAGCATAGGTGGTTTTCAGTACAACTTTTGAATACACCAATAACTTACAAAAAAATGTTTTGTAATCGTTTCGTAGTCTTCATTTATTACTTTCTTTTGTAATTTTTATGGACGGGCAGACGAACATGCAAGATGTTGTTTATTCAAGAATACGCGCTTAAAAAAAAAAGCTAATACTATCATCATTACCGTTGCAATAGATATCACAGGAAATGCTCGCGGCAAATTCGACTGTCAAAAATCGAAGCCTGTGATTACAGACCTGTAAAGCACTGATTGGTTGGCATTTCCGTCCAGCCTGTAACTTGGCCAAGATGCAAATAGAAAGTGGCCGTGAACTGTGATGCACTGCATCACCCGATTCCTAGGGCGACACCGGTAGCTGGTGCCTTTAGCCTTTGAGTAAAACCGATTGTTCTGTGTACGGGAGCTTATAGCAAACGAGTTTGTGTATTTATTCCTTGTTACTTTTCTATTTAAGCATTCCACTTGTGACTCAGGATACCATGCTTCGTGGAACGGCATTCAAGTGGTCATCGTAGGTAAGCAGGATGACATCACTCCTCGTAGATCTTTTACAATATGTTTAGTAACATTGTGCAGAATCGGTGGTTCGATATGCGTACTCCCTGTACATGCTTGTCACGGAAGCTTTGTCTCCAACCGCCGGTAGAAGCAGCGATGGCTTGTTGAAGTGGTTGACCACATGAGCTGTGCAGTGTTCACGATATGATTCAAAGCTACGAGTGCCCGTGTACATGCCGTTTATCGAGTGACTTCGCGCTTTTTTCAAATTGCTTCGTGCTAATAAGTGACTTGTTGCGGGGTTTGAATGCTTTCTACTGTCTAGCGACACAATCGTGCAAATGCGAGTGGTGAAGCGTGTTTCGCGTTTAACGCTATCAACTGGATGTACACATGCGCTGCAAGACAGGGTCTTACCCCCGTATTCTAGAACGCCCCTTCACTCAACGCTCCACCTTCACTTGAGAAAGACGATGGGAGCGCTATCTCTAGGCAGGGAAAGTCACTGCATATCAGTGATAATTTGCTGCTATTCTTGAGTAGCGCAGCGTCATTTTCAGCCGAGCAGCGGCGCAGTGCGCAACTTTGTCAAGTGAAGGGTGAAAGTCGATTCGAGGAGTGCTTGCGAATACGGGGGTTAGTCAGAATTTTTTTTTTCCTAGGTGGGGGAGTGTGTAGAAGAAGGGTCTGACTCCCATTTATGTATGCTCGTGAGTGGGTTGGTATGTGCATGCACATATACACAAATGATACAAAGCCTGGTGGGCGGGGGGGGGGGGGGTGGAAGGGGTGGAGCACCCAAGTCACTGCCCTGGCTATGCCACTGTCAAAAAGTTATAAGTGAATGGTGGACGTGCTTCTAGATGAACAAAAAAAATTTTTTTTCGGCTGATCTGGAACGTTCAGCTGAGCTTCACAGATCTGACGCCAGCTCTGTTTGCGATAGATTTTCAATGCTGGTGAATCTGGTGATTCATCGTCATGCAGTTGCTTCGTGCACAAGCATGCATTCCATTTTAGGTATAATAAATATTTTTTAATCTACACGTGTCCATCGTTTATCGAAGCTGGTTTTACTGGTAGCATCATTGGTTATTTCTCTTGCTTGCTTGCGAGGTAAAAGAAATTTTCTCGTTTACTCAAATAACGTACAGTAGAGTATTTTGAACTACGCCCCCCCCCCCCTTTACTTCTGTCATTGAGGCTTCATCAAGTGTTTTTGTCTCGGATATATCTGCGAAAAAAATAAATAAACGCGTAATTTGAAAACAGCGGATGATACATTTCGTAATCACGCATGAAATCGAATAACATATATTGTTCACTTCATATTTGCAAAATACCTTCTGTCACCTTCGCCTGACACCATGCGGACAGCACAGAAGGACGTAAAACGCAGAATATTCCGATGGAGGGTGGACTGTCTCAAGGTGGTCGGCAAAATTCTGTCGAGCAGGAGAGGGGAAGGGGGTACAATGCAAACTCGTATTGAGTCACGGCTGGGAGAGGGAAAGAGGGCTGGTAGAGCTTGGGTGGAGGCAAGTGCCCCTTTTGCAGCCCCCGACCAACGCTTAAGGGCTGTCGTGAATTTTATGGTGTACTTGTAGCCAGAGTGACGTACAGTGCATGTCTCTCAATTCCATTCTTCATTTAATAGAGTAATTTAGATAACGGCTTCCTCATGCGAGGCTTCGCACGTTCTTGTCATTCGACAAAGCGTGACACTTCTGTAATAAAACGGCTAAATCCTGTAAATTAAGACGTGGGGAACATGTATAACAACAAACAACTCATTTATTTTTGCTAAATGTGGATGTGAATATGCGTCACAGGTTGCTGATCGGTACGCTTTCCGCATGTTCTTGTCACGTAAGCTGAGCGTACCTGTCAACCGTGCGCTGATGTTTTATACTGCCATGACTTGTTTTTCTTTAATTATATTCAGAAGATAGGGCAATCTTTCAATACCTATCATGCAGAGAAGAGAAATGTTTGCGAATAGGCGTACTACATAAAAAATATTTCGTTACGCGATCGATAAATCTGAACGAGAAGCCGCCATGGTGGTTCATTGGCGCTGCTGACCTGAAAGACGTGGGTCCGCTCCTGACCGCGGCGTCGTTCGATGGAAGCGAAAAGTTAGAGACCCATTGACTTGGCGATTTCAGTGTACGTTAATCCAAAAGGGATGAAATCATCCGGCGTCATCTGCTATTGGCCGTGCCCGATAGCCTGAGTGGCTGTGGCATATTGGAAACCGTCATACGAAAAAGGTAACGAAGCAAGATAACGACAGAAAAGAAAAAAAGAGCAAGTGGATGGCAGGAAGCATTTTTTGCGGCGTGAATGTTAAATCACGGGGCTAGGCCACACTGGGAAAGGTTCAATGCTCTGCACAGAGGTGGCGAGAGGACTTTTTTAGGGGGGAGGGGGGCACACGTGACAAATAAGTTCTAGCGGGGCAGGAAGGCGGGTGACTTTTGCTTTCTGTTTTTTTTTTACATTTGCTCTTGGTGGGCGTGGGGGGGGTGAGGGGTGAGGGGCAGGTGAAGATTAGGGGGAAAGATCGAGACCCCCCCCCCCCCCAAAGACCCCCCGCCCCCCCAAAGCGTTACCCTGGCTCTGCGAAATGCGAAATTCGAGCTATGCTCAACCATAAGACCTTGTCTTGTGCATAGCTCGTTGCCTGCGCACCAAAAAAATAGTGCTATGGTCATGTTTATGAGCTAGGCGCAGCAGCCGGAACACTGCATGCAAGCATCGCTTGTCTACTTTTATGTGTCCACGATATCGCTGAGAAGATATGGTCGCCGCAGGGATCCCGTTAATTGCTGTCAAGATAAGCGTTTGCCCGGATTGCTGGCGGTTTTCGCTCCTGCCTGGATGACCGAGTTTTGCTCCTTTTCAAGGATGTATACTTCACGGATGGCCGCCATATCACAGCTCGAGAAATTTCAGCTGATGCTACATAATTATGCCACACATCAACGTAATATTGATAGCTCATAAACATGAGAATTTTTTTCGTAGCACCATAATATTATTATTAAAGGGGCCCTGAAACACTTTTTCAAGAAACCATGAAATGAATTCACTGGAATAGCTTATTGCCTCGCGAATTCAACGCCGCACAAATAGAATCCGTCCAGTGCGAGTAAAGTTACAAAGGTTTGTCGCATGCTGCAATTGCATTCTCTCTTCCCTCGTCCCGACGAAAGCACTGGAAGCCAAGCAGGGACGCATGGCAGAGCCACAGAAAAACCTCACGCGCGCTTCGCGACCTTGAGCACTTTTTTAATTTTTTTTTTGTACGATTGCGCGGCTTTTTTAGTGTGATCACGCGTGCGCGCATGGACAAGTAGCGGCCTCCCGCGGCGATATCTGTAACAAGCGAGCGCGCCATGTTTAAATAAGCCAATGGCTGATAGATGGATCATTGACGTGTGATTTTTTGGGCTTATAGCGTGATTTATCGAGAGAAGAGAAAGCAATACTTAGCTCACTTTGATCATTTATGGTGAATTCCAGGCCGCGCGCTGTGCTATAACGTTTGGCTCGCGTGTTGTCGGGAGCCTCTACTACCGATCGGCAGCATTTTTTCAGCATGCTCAAAAAGTGTTGCAGGGCCCCATTAATAACGTGCCAAAACCACGATATGATTAAGAAGCATACCGCAAGGGAGTGCCCTTGAAATTTCTGTCATCTGGTGTCTTTTAACGTACGTGCATTGACACTGCACAGTACGCAGTTCTCTAGCATTTCACCTCCATCGTAATGCTACCACCACGACTGGAATCGAACCCACGACCTGCTGGCCAGCAGTGTTGTTGATGATTGCGGATGGGCAGCAACATGAAGGAGATATAGAAGAGAAAGAAGAAGTGGTTTGCAGCAGCAGAATAGACATGGAGATCTTGGTCTAGGGCTCGAGTTCTTATTGCGCGAGATATCGTTCTTGTGCTGAAACCCGGGATCTGTGATCGTACGTACATGTAGTCATACACAGGCACAAGCACCAGAGAACCACCGTAGTACCACCGCGGTAAACACACACGTAGGCATAGTTATCAGGACTGTATGTTGGTTATTTTCTTTCACTTTTTTATACGCAAATATAAGACCATCGTTTATGCATACGCCATAACTGCTCAGCGCGATATCTTTTCGTTGAAGTCACATGAGAATATAGCCAATAACACTACACACAATACACCCAGATGCACGGGGTAAGTGAGAGCGATGCGCTTGAAATTGGGACTAGTAAGGCATGACAAAGAATACGTCACTGAATTTCACAATCTTCTACATTTGCCACAATATAGTTTCACAACTAGGTCTCGTTCACCCCATTGCTGATGCTACAGCGGACTGAAAAAAAAAAGAAAAGGAGAGAGAGGGGGGTGGAGAGGTCTGCGATGTCGGGAATCGCATGGGTTTCGTTCGATCGAGTCATGGTCATGCTTGTCGGGTATATCGTGTGTATAACTGTGAGCCGTGTCTTTCGCCATTCGTCGAAGATATGAGCAGTGTCGAGGTTCGAGCACTCCTGAGCACACGTGGCTGTTCGTGAATCACATTGGAACACTGCGGATTTTTGTTTCCGTAAACGAGGCACACTGCCCGCTGCGAGGGATCGCTGATCAGTTCGAGCACTTGGTGTGTACATACGTGTCACACGTTTGTTTCTACGGGAGTGTAGGCGTACGGTTTCCTTTCCGCTGACACAACATCGCTGCCGGAGCCAAGTTCCGAGGAAAGGGCAGCAGCAGCTCCTACGAATAGAAAAAGAAAAAGGAAAAAAAGGAGTACGCGGTTACAAAGCTTGCAGGTACGGCAGACTGAGGGAGGAACTTTCGTATTTGCTCAGACATGTCGCGAGCATAAACGAGGGCACAGAGCGCATGGGGGGGGGGGGGGGGTGGCTTATTCTTTGTTCTAATCATCTAAAAGGGCGCCAAGGTCACCTCGATGCTCTTACCCAGTCGTACCTGTCCTGTAATTGTTTAATGCGTAGGGTTATAGCTATATGCAGTCCCTGATGGTAATGGCGGCCGATGATCACTGATGTTTCACCCGCCACGGTGTTCTAAAGGCGCGTTTACACTAGAGAGACACGACACTGATTTTGGTCTGCGGGCTGTCTTTGGGAGTGAATTTTGTCTTGTCGTCGGCCTATGTACCCTGAAAATATGCAAACAGTCCGCCGGCGGTCTCTCGAAGACCCGCCGCGCCTTGTCGTGCTCACAGTCTTTCGTTGGTCAATTCCGTAGTCACATTGGAGGCACACACGGCAACACCGGCTAAACTTGCACACCTCATTTTCAGTCATGCTCTCTGCTCTGCCATTGTCCCTCTCCAGCTACGCGGCGCAGCCCCATGCCATAATCCATGGGAACGAGGGTCGGGGGTGCTTAGACACAATAGGCAAGCGAAGAAAAGACTTCCCTTGGGTGCTCAAGCTGCCTATTCAGACGCCACAAGAGGACATTTTTAAGTTTTCTAATCGAAGAAAAAAAATACCTCAGGCAGATTTTAAAGGGTCTTCCTCCTTCTAAAAAAGTCATTTGACTCTTCTCGGCGAATCCTGATTCGCCACGTAAATGCCGCTCTTTGAAGAGACACGTTAGCTCTCTTTTGAGCACCACGACTCTCCAAATAGTGGCGGATCCATAGGGCAGTGGTAAGGTCGACCTTCCTTCTTCCCCCCAAAATTTGTCGGCACCCCCTATCCTCTCTTCTGTGCTTGGCGTCCACCTGCTATCACCAACTAGGACAAATGAGTGGGACTACTTTGAGCACACATTAATAGAATTTATGATATAATAGAGCTTTTGCACTAGTAAAAACAAGAAAGTAATGATCACGCCCCCTCTCTGGTGTCAATTTGAGCGACCCCCCCCCCCCCCCCCTGCAATGAGTGGCTGGATCCACCCCGGTTTCCAAAGAAAGAATAATAGCACTAAAGAGTGTTCAAGTGTTCTCTTTGGAGAAAGTCACATGCGTGGCAAGTCGCGACTCTCAGAAAAGAGTCAAATGACGCTTTTTTCCCCCTTAAAGAGCGCCGATCACTTGCAAAATGCTCTCGGGTTCCCTGTGATCACATTACTCAACACGAATTGCTACATTACCGTAAAAGTATGAGTTACAGCAAACTGCCTGGGCTCAAAATGACGCCAGCATTGGGAAGTGGCCCTTACATTAAAAAAAAAACGAATTAAACTATCTCAATCAGCGGAACATTTTGAAGCAATTTGACATTCGCCGGTGTCATTGTGCAAGCTTGGGGTCACTTTAATCACAGCCAGCGTGTTGCAACTAACATTGACCGCGCCTGTTCATGATGGTAGGAGTGGGTCAACAGGGTCAACTCACTCTTCTTGGCTTTCGCTGAGCGGCCCTGTCTGCCTGATCGTGCGAGGTAGGCGAGTGAGGAGTCCAGCGCGTACGCCAGCAGGCACCACGCGAAACCGGCCGCGGCCACCAGCTGGAAGGTGGAAGCACCACCCAGCCATTCGAAGCCAGCGCCACCCACCATGCCGCCGAGCGCAGTACCTGTATATGCAGCACCAAAAATGTTGGTTACAACAAAGCACGAATTGAATGTAAACATTCGACAGACGTCTGGCTGGTTCGGTCGGTAAATTGGGAAAAATATTTCAACTCCAACCAAAGTAGAGTACGTGAAAACACGTAGGAATCTGACGTTTCGGAACCGACTTGGTTCCTTCCTCGGGGGTGACTGTGGTGACGTTGGAGCGGTGTCTTGAAGGCACTCGCGGGGTGGTTAATGACCCCCCCCCCCCCCATTTGCCGCAAAGCATAGTCCGTGTGCACCCACCGGGCGAAGGGTTCCATGAGAACGATAATACACGTGGCTATACTGCTTTATGGCGGGAGCAGATAAGAGAACGAAAGTTCGGCAGATGTTCCACACTTGCAATGCAAAAAGGCAAAAGTCTGGCTGCACTCATGTAAGTTAAATTATCCGAAATGAGAGAGTACTTATGTTTTACATTAACCAAAATGGGCCCTCTGAACGCGTCATGCCAATACTTTTGTTAGATTAATTTCGTACTTTATGTCTTTTTCAAAGCTGTGTAGATTTTTGTTCACGTTTCAGTGATTTTCCGAATCCGAAACGCTGGATTCTACGCCTTTGCCCCGCAATATTGCATCCGTTAATGTGGCTCTCTTCCCGATATGACGACTGTATGGAGTCCATTGCCGCAGCACTTTCAAACATGGCCGTTGCTCAGTCACACAGAAGACGCGTGATCGATTGTGGCTTAATTCCATTTTTTTTTTTTTGCAGTCATTGAGATTGTTTTCCTCGCGGCACCTTCCACATCAATCATCGGCTTTATGACGAGATTTCCAACATAGACATTTGAAAATTTTGTCTTACTAACCTTCATTTCACAAATTTAAATAGCGAAGTATGTCTGTGTTCTTCCTTGCTGATTAAGAGGAAGGAAAGAACATTAGTTTGGTCCATATATGACTCAGTTTTTGGTGGTTGCCAGAATTTTCATTGGAGTACATCTGATCATTTGACCATCCGTGCAAACATGTTGTATTAGCTATACGAGGATAGCTTTTGGAGTTACATTCCACAAAAAGAAAAGGTGAACGCTAAGGGATCACTGGTGCCGACAGCCAGCCACACATTTCTCTTTGTTTTCTTTTTTTCTTTTTTTTCCTTGCGTTGGCATGTTCTCTCCAAATGGCTCGCATTCCATGACCCATCACAGCTTGATATCAACGGTACTTTTCGCGCTTGCTATATAAGCAAACTAAAATGCCATCTCGGGAGAGATGCCGTTTCCACAATGTCGTTCACATGCTTTCACGGTGTAATTAACTTGGCATCAAAACATGAGTCGTACCTTTAGTTCTGATCACTGCTTTTGCAGGATACTTGAAAGTCAAGATAAGTACATTGATTCGCGAATCGTTCTATTAGTCTCGACTATAATGTAAATTTATATTCCAGACATTTATCAAGGTATTTAAGAACGCGAGATCATGAAAAAAACATAAATATATAGTCTTTGTCACTAAGTTTCTTTACAACATGAACAGTGGTTGGTATGAGGAATAACGCAGACAGTTCGGAAACACGGTGTGAAAAAAAAGTCAAAATCTTAATTGCTGGTGTGAAGGTTGGCATTTGATTAATGAACTATTTCTGAAACTGATTTGTCCGAAGTGGCCTCATGGTGTACCCTCTTACCGATGCCTTCAAAGAAGCCCATCACGAGTCCCATAGTTGTGGCCTCGGTTCCAGGTGGCGCGACCTCCTCGGCGTAGGAAGGAATGGCCGTGAAAAAGGCTCCGAGAGCCAAACCGAGCAGTAGCTCCACAGGAAGGGTCACCCAGGGGTTAACAATTATCGAGTACAACACGAAGGAGACCGCCATCGACACAAGAGCGGCGCGCATTACGAACACGTGTCCCGTCTTGCCAATGGTCCAACCCGCGCAAACAAAGACCGGAAGTTCGGCGAAGCTCCGCACGGCCACGGTAGCGCCCATGAGCGCCGAGGAAGCACCCAGGTTGTCCAAGTACCAGAAGTGGTACTGCCACACAATACCCACGAACACCCCGCCGATGGTGGCGTCCAGGAGGAGGAACCACACGCGACTGTCCTTGTAGACGAGCCGGAACACGTCCTTGGCAATACTCTCGGTGCTCTTGCTTTTCCTTATGTCGCAAATGCGGACGCAGGCTGCATCGACGAGCATCAGCGCGGCAGCTAAATAGAAGCCCGCAGAATAGTCCGTTCTAGACGATGGATCATTCGTCCCCTTGAGGCCATCGATGAGATATCCGCTGCCGGCGGCAAATACGCCCCATCCCACGGTGCCCCACAACCGGTGCAAGCCGAATCGATTCTTGGAGTCAGGCACCTTCGCTTTCAAGAAGCTCGAAGCACCCTGTGTCCGTCAAAGAGTTGGCGCAGCCTATGGCCGCGTAGTTGACCGTCACGAAGATGCAGTACAACCAGAATACTGCCGTTGCTAGGACAGAACCCGATGCAAGTTCTGGACCACTGTCCATAAAAGCACAGAATGTAGTGCAAGCTCCAGAAACATTTTCGTAGTCACTGGGAGGGAAGCTTAGCGTTAGGTTCATCTCACTGACGTTAGCACGCACTCTTACATTTTCGTGCTGCACGTTGTTTACTGATTGATTACCTTGCTGGACGCAGGACAGGTCGCAGAACGGGTCCACTGAAGCCATTTGCGTAAAATTTAGTGCGGCGATGGGTATCACGAGAAGTCTACTCTGCAATGTCTTTGGGTGTGATGGATATTGACAAGTTGTGAGTGGAACTAGCACCTCCTGTCACCCCTCCAGTTACGGCGGGCAGGAAGTTTATCGCTGCGAACGTTCCCATGATGCAGATAAGGAAAGACAGGATGACGACCTTGATCTTTTTTGAGCGGTCGACGATTGCTCCGAAGATGGGTTTTGAAGCCGCGGAGAAAAAGGGTGCCACGGTGTAGATAAGGCCCACTTCGACGGCAGACACTCCACGGTCCTTAATCAGGACGCCGATAAAGGGCAGGAAGCCAGAAAGAGCTGTGAAAAAAAAAGAAACAGTTTACGTGTATAAGCAAACGAGCTCGGTTCTTGTTTAAAGAAGCGCATTCCATGAAACGTGAGCTGAATAGTAAAATACACTGTATACTTCTCGCGCAGTGCGTAGTCTCGATTTTTTTAGCTCCGTATTCAGCGACGTGCCTCTCTGTAGGACATGAAGATAATGCAGATCACGTTAAAGAGGGTAACACAAGCGGGCAAGCAGAAAAAAACGATGTATATGGAGACTGGACGACACATATACAAATTATATATAGACGTGTAGCTTCTTGCCTACTAAATTGTGATTTTTCCATTAACCATCCATAAATGCGTCGGAGTGGACCAACGAAACTGCATATGATGCATTCTTGTATTTTTCCTAAGCACACAGTGTTCTTAAACGTGGCATGTTCCGGAAGGCGCATTCTCGTGATCGTGCTTACAATGCAGCATTGTAATGTTAAAACAGACTCAGACTCGTGTATTACGTCAGTGTAGCGCTCAAGGAGTAGATAATTTCGTTGACGCACTTGTACGGTTGTTTAAAACGCCCCGATAGAGCCGCTGTGGACGAGTGCATATGCACTGAAAATGCTTACGTAATGGTTACAATTGATTCCTCCAGGAATGTGCCTTTACGCCAGTCTGTCGAAGAAATGGCCTGGCTTCGTGTCGTGACAAACTGGCCACTCTTTATAGCCGCTCTTCATCTGAGCAAAATATTTGCATTATTTTTAGCTCTCTTTAAAGTGAGTGATAACATGAAAGCAGGTGACACATATATCTTACAAGCGCGTTCAACTCCGGCCCAGACAATCCGGCAACTTATTAGGAACCTGCTGTTTGGCGCTTATGATCGGATCATCAGTGAGCAGAGCTTATTTTGCTTGTTAATTCCTTGACAGATTCGGCAAACGACTCTGATTTCTTTGGCGGACACTGGCTACGCTGGTAAGCGTCAGAACGACCAGGTGACCCCGTAACATCCAAGGCAAAGAAACACGTACGCAGACGTCTACTAACACCGTACTATAATAATTTTAACCAGATATATTTATCATCCGGCCAATGATGTATGTTTGATGCTGTACAACGAATCTTAGCCTGACTAGAGTGTTACGTTGTTAAGGATAGAGTATACAATGGAAGGCTCGAACGTACAGCATATCATTAGTGTGCACACACCATGGATGTACGCTAGCTGGTACGGAATACAGAGCCTCGCGCTGCTAAATTTAGTCTTTTGCATATTTGAACACACGCCAATGAGCGATTGCGCCGCCAACTTTAAATAAGCGTCATGTACAAGATACCATTTTTCTTCTTCCTGCTGCAATAATTTGAAAATTGTCCAGCCGCATGAGAACGCAGAGAAGTCGCAGTGGATTTTAAAGTGCTAAAAAAGGGACTAAATTCATATAAGATTTCAAGCAAATCACAACCCTCATTTAGAATAACTTATCTCGATGCTCACTATAGCAGAACTGCACTGAGGCCTAACCGCGCAAACTGCGGAACTCGCAGCATCGCCTGGCATAGATGAATGTTTAACAGTTCATTGAGTGTTGTGCTAACTAAAACAGCGCAACAATATTGCACCACTGAGCGCGAAAGTTTAGCTTGTTGGCTGATGAGGCAAGTCTAGTGAAACTCAACGTGCAGGCTACAAACAGTGAACGTGCCGCCAATGGCGTGTAAGAATATTTCGTTTGATAACAGGCACACGTGTTGGAATAGTCGGTGATGGATGTTGATTCAGACACCATCGCTGGACTTTGTTTACGGAGTGAACATTATGTTCATATTCTCGTTGTGGAGCCGAAAAGAGTCTGCTGTATTGTTTCCACTTAATATATTATTAAAGCGAGCGTTAATGGCCAGATTTGTGCACAAAAGCAATGAATGTAAACATGCGGAAATGAGCTACACCTCCGAAAATGTTATGACATCTCGCTACGTACTTCCATCTTGCACATATACACGGTGTGCTGAAGGTCATGCAGTGTCTTGGAGGTCAATTTTTCATCCCCCCCAAAAAAGGTTTTGGTCAGTGCAGTCCATTGCTCGTCAGAGCGGTGACCAGTTATTACAAGGAAGGGCCTGCATTATTATGTGTCAAATAGTTGTGATGTGCGCATCTCATTTGGAGCGTGGCGCGCAGTGCCGAACAACTGTAGCTTTTCATTAATGTTTTCATTAGTTGTTGGTGTTTCGGCGAGCTTTTGTTCATAATTGATGCATTTAGCCCGTGCTCTCTAACCCGCCTCTAGGTCTAATTGAAGTTTCATTCGTTTGAACTTCACTGTTGTTCAGCGAAATCTGTGCACATGTGTCGAAAAGAGCTGTTGTGCAGTTAATGGCAGCGTAGCTTATTCCTGAGAGAACATATTTCGGAAAAAAGAAATGAAAAAAAAAACCAAAGTAAACGGCGTACTTTACACGTACGTTCCCCAAAAGACTCGATGACATCAAAATAGCGGCATGCGGGGCCCTGTTCTTTTGACAATGGGCGTGAGAAACAATGTGGGCTGTGAAGCGGTTAAAGCGAACATGTTATAGAAGTATAGCAACTGCCGAGCACTTACCGCCGTAGTAGAAGAAGTAGTGCGCCTTCATCGGCAACTCCTTCAGGTTAATTTTCGCCATCGTGCGACTACTTTGGGTGGTCCTCCCGCATCAGGTGCTGCGTTTTGGGCTGTCTCCTAGCTGTACTCACTCCAGTTGCCCCTTCTTTCCATTTCATTTTGGTCTTTTTTTCTCATTCTGTCACGACGCGCACCCAAAGGTGCAGTCACTTCACCTTCCGATCTCCGCAAAGGAGTTTCGCACTATCACCTCGGGCGTCGTTGAATGCTGCGATGAACGGAAGGTGGTGGAGCCCTGCAGATAAAACGGTCGTCAAAGGTCGATGAGCTCGGATGACGCTCCATACCGGAGTGAAAACAGAAAATCCTAAGCACGCCTGAACAGATGTCGTTCAGTCAAATTCGGTAGCTCTCCCTTGCCTCGAAGTGGGACGTCTTCGCTCGTTCTCCGGTGGATCTCGTGGTGCCGGTGAGTTTATCGCGATGTCTCGCACCTCCTGGGCTGCCGTTTTTACAGCTGTTATAGCTTTTCCCCGCACGCCTTTGACGTTATCTGCCAAGTCCTTCGGTCGTCTGCACTTTTTTCGCTCGCGCTCTTTTTCTTCGTCTTCTTTTTCATGACCGTGTTTCTTCGTTTATCTTTCTTTGCCAACTATTCTCACTCTCCGCGTACGTGCCAAAAGGAAGATGTTGCCAGGCGCTCTCCCGTCCGCATCCTGCACCTCGTTACAGTACACTCTAACCGCGTGAGTGCCTCCAACGCACGCAGGCGGACTGATTCACCGACAGGAACGCGACGTGCTCTGCGAAATTCTCGCTTCTTGCGAGTGCCGCTCAGCTGACGGCGGCGCGCTTGCGCAGTCGCTGAAGGCCCCGAGCAACAACATCCTGCCGTTCCTGCCGACGAACCCGCGCCTGCACACCAGCTGTTTGCAAACGCACGCTCAGGCCATCGCCGCTACCGAAAGCTTATGCACGGAACGAAAGGCGGGCGGTTCTTTTCCTGCCTATCCCGGACGGTGGATCGCTTTGCAGTTTGGAAAAAGTGAGACAAAGAGGCGTTTGGGACGAGGTTGCGGCAAAGCGTCGTTTGTGTGAGGTGAAATGGAGAGAAATTTTACTTTCTTGGAAGGCCCATGAGGGACTATGTGAGGTGGTGTAGTTGGGCTGTAGTTTTTCTAGTGGTCATTGACCTAAAGTCACTAGATTTTTTTCTTCAAGGGAAGAATCTATAGGCACTTCACACTTACTAAGTTAAAAAGTGAAAAGTTTCGGAACATTTACAAGCTTCTATGTTACTTGATGGCCCGACTCATGCATCCGAGAGCCTTCATTTTCGTACTGCTCTAAATTACCAGAACGCAAACGATTTCACCGTCGAGAAAATATTGGGACGATGGAAATTCCGTCCCAGTTCCGAAACGCAACAAAAGCGCGGTTGCGTTTTTTTTTTCTTTCAGAGATACCGGGCTGATTCACCGTCTGGGATACAAACACGGAAATATTACGTCGGCCGAAACAATATTTGCATTTTCCAATTCCCCTCTAATTTTCTCTCACCCTTACCTTTCCCGAGCGCAGAATGGCATCTGGCTCTGTCGTGGTTAACTATTCTGTATTACTTCTATTCTTATTCTCTATTTATGTCTCTTGTTCACAACGGACAAGTGAACAAGAAACTTGTCCACGATGACAGGCGCTGTTCCGTGCTCCCAATCGGGCTGCAGAAATTAGGCACCTTCTTCTTCTAACCAATATCATCACACTTGTTAACAAGGAACAGACTCGTACAGGTTCCGAGAGGTCAAAACGGTTCTTTACTTTTTTAATGACTGCAGCTTAGGTTAAGTGCAATATGCTACCTGACGAGATAAGCTTTCGTGAAACTCTTGACTGTGTAATGGGAGGTTTAATTAACTCGAAAAATAGCGCTGTAATGTATGCAAAGACGAATTCATTTCAAGGAAAAACAGGGAGCGGTAAATGCACCAAAGGACGAAAAAAAGTCACCTTTTATCAAATCTGCAGTACAGAAAGAAAAGAATGATTTCTGAAGCATATATACTTCGTATACGATGACTAAGTCTGGCATACATGTAGATGAATGTGTCAGCGCGTGTGTTCGTGCAAAGTTCGAGCAAAGCAAGTAAGAGAGAAAACGTCAATCAATCTTTGAATGAGACTGCGATTGTCAAAAAGATGCGCATAGGCAGCGCATGCCTGCTCTTTTATCATTCTGCATTCCAAGGCATGTAGTAATGACATTAAAAAAACTATAATTACAACTAATGGACAAGAAAGACAAGGAAGGTATAACGGATTTGTAATAACTATGGTGTAAAGGAGAAGAAATAGAGCGGACTGAAAAATATCTTGTCGCCGGTGGGGACCGAAAAGTTACCTCACGTGGTGTATTGTGCGCAGATGAATATGTCCCTGTGCGTTACTGCGCGATCACCAAAGATAATAAACAACTGACCCATATTGCAGCGTTACGGGTTTAACTGCAGGCATCTGAAGTTGTTATCGAAACTTTCTGAAGGGAGCAGCTTTACTGAAATCGAAATGATTATGCGGTCCCGCAAAGGCCTGTTTCCCTATTTTCATAAGAGGAATGTGGACCGGCGATCACGTAGGACGACCCTATATTGAATGTTTCTCAAACAAAATTAGCTATATGGCAATCGTTATGGCACGCTACATGTGCAGTTAAATTACCGGTGTAATGAAGTATCGTGGAGATCCCGGGCTTATCATTATGAAGGCGCTGGTTCTCAGGCGGGATACTGTGGTGCTGCACTTTAATGTGGCTCAGGCTGTTAGCGCAATTCTGGCGCTGTTTCTTCACGTTATGAGCGAAGACATTCCTGTTGGGCGATGGCAACTGCAGTCGCGCTTTGTTCGGTTGCGTACACTTGTGGTCGTTTGCGTGTTTGTATTACCCACTACTTCAAGATAAGAAAATTACGCTTCTCTCAAATACCAACGGTGGTCCTCCCTGTCACCCACCCCCTTGTCCAAGGCTCCCCCCCCCCCCCCCCGGCTCCTCGTGCTCAAGCCCATATGCTTATGCTCTAGCACTGGCTTTCAATTTTGGCGATCTCTACAGCCATACGGGGCAATATTTTTATACTCCTTGTTACATGAGCAGTTGGCGGGAGGCATGGCTCGCTGGCATAGCGCATGAGCGGCGGCCACGTATTGTGGCGCCATCTGCCGTAATCTTTATGTGACGTGTAAAACGACATCGCGTGGCACCGACTGCGTGAAGCGTTCGACTATACTCCAGTGATTCAGGCTGTTCAGCCGGGGCTTTTCTCAATCTTCAAGCGTTTACTGTGCTTGTATTGGCTGCTAAGCAACCTATATTGTTTGCCAACAAAGGGTTTTCAGCGAGCCAACGTGCGGTCATCGTCGCATCGTGCACTTTCGATGGAGCACGTGTACGTGTTGCCATGGACGCCTAGGTTGGAGAGACGCTCTGGTAAAAGCCGAGTTATGAAACTCACCTAGTAATCTGCAAACCGAAGCATTCTCATATCTCGTGTATACATTTATGTTTGCTGAGGCAAGTGGGGCGGTGCGCACCTCTTTTTTATTGGTGTAATGTTATAAGATATTGGTGCGCATGTAAGGCGCCGGCTACTCCGTAGCCCTTGAGTCAATGGTAAACTTGCTTTTCCGCGGAACTTGCGCGGCCGAGAGGTAACGATTTGATCTGCGTGGAACCATAATTACTACACATAACATTCCCCATACTTCCCTCGGCTCTCATGTCGGTTATTTCACAATAATGGTTTATATATAGCGAGGTACTTCGAAGGAACCAACCCAGCCCTGGAGGTTTCGGAGCCGTGAGCTGGAACCGGTGAAGCAAGTACTCCTCGTGTATTTCACTAATGGTCTTTACGCCAATAAATGTCATATATCATCATCGTCGGCGTGGATTTCGATTTGTTACCAAAGAGATTGAGGAGGAGTGGGGACTTCACAATAAAATAGATTACGACGTTTATTTTAGGCCTTTATTCGCACACGCCTAACTTCTGGTGAATTCACGCTGTAACTATATACCTTTCTGCACAATCAACGTTGAATCGTTTTCTTTCCACCCAATATGCATTTACTACTTTACCATGATCTGCATCGTATACGAGCCCTTCCTTCCTGAGAAAAATATGTGCAGCCCGTGTTAATGTGTTCATACGTGTAACTTCCAATGAAGTTGCGCGGAGTGGCGTTTCAAGCATTCGGGTCTATTACTTATTTCGTGTTGTTTGCTGGTGGGTCAGCATCGTCAACTTGGAATAAAGATTTAGAAAACTAACTAATAAGATAACTATCGCATAGGCAATTTCTTCTCGTGATCGCCGGCGTTAGTAGCGCACTGCGCGACAGTATGTGGCTACTATAATTATATCAGAGCAGTCAAGCAACGCGAGAGTGAATTTTCTTTAGAATATTTCATTAAAGAGGCATGCACATCATAATCTAAGAATGATATAAGATGTTAATGAACGAGATATTGTACTGCTACAGCACCGTATGTACAAATTGCAGACAGATTTCCATTTAAAGCCCTCGGAACTACTTAGCTACATGTTGATCTACAAAAAAGATACATACCTGGTTCACATTTTTTGCTACTATAAGCAGTCGAAAAGTCACAACTAACGCAATAAACTATCAAGAGCACCAATACATTTCGTAGCACATTTTAGAGCTGACTGTAGCACCTAAATTCTCAAATAAAACGGTCTTGACACTTGACGTAAGGCCAATAATTAAAATGGAAATCGGCTATTTTAAATATACGTATACAAGAGCACTGTACAGCCGTGGCCACGCCTGTGTAAAGCGCTCGAGCAGCCGGCTTTTGCTCTGCGGGCCGACACCTTGAGGCAGCTTCGGGCTCTGAAGTGGTGTACCAAGAGCATGCACGGCCTAGTTGTCAGGCTGACCACGTCAGAGCCTGACACTGCCCCAAGGTTTCGCCCTGCACAGCAAAAACCGGCTTTCGCGTGCTCTACACAGACGTGGCCGCGGCTGTACGCTACGATCTGCCATGTAACCAATGCGCGTGCTTCATAGGCGATTCCTTGAAAAAAAGGTGTCCCAATAAAACTTTTTGATACATAGCCCCCAGTGGTGAACGCCAAGCTATCGATTAAAGTGAGCGATTTGCAGTAAAGAAGGATCTGTTGGCAACCGCAACAGCGGTGAGTTTGTGCGAAGATATTTATTTAGAACAAAAGTATATTTACAGTCACTTCAACACAACAAACGCGGACACATGTATGAGTTATGCACAAACAATATTCGCAACCAAATCCATAAGATATGGGGCTGATCACAAGCATCTTCACGGAAGAACATGCGTATACTTTGGCAAATGTGCGTTTGCCTTGACTTCAAATAAAAATGCCCAATAAAACACATTATCGTTCCGCGAATAACACTGGCAAAGCTCCCAGGCATGTTGCCGACAGAAGCAGTGAGGGGCGGCGTTGAGGTATCGGTCGGCGAAAGTCAGTGCACATGCGGCCCAGAATTGTGTATATACGCGTAGGCTAATAAAATACGAACTGAGGACACTTTGCAAAGTCCTCGGTGGTAGTAAACTTGTACCACTGCTGTTGCAGTCTGGTGGGCTTCGATACGGCTTTAAGCAGCTTTCTCGTTGTTGTTTTTTATGAGTGTGCTCGTAAAACATGGGTCTTGTTCATATACGTCGTGCTAAACGAATGGATCAGCGACCACTTCCTTCTACTTTTTCGATAGCCTAGCTTAATT